TCAGAGTGGAAATATTTATTGTGATGTCAAATAAAGGATTCAAAAACTGAATTTAAAAAGTGTCAAGATGTTAAATGAATATAAGGTAGTTTATAACAGATTATTCTTTGACTACACCTGCCTCAACCCAAAGAGACCAAAAAAACAAAAAAAAAAAACACCAAACTTTGGAGGAAAAAATCACAGTGCTTTCCCTTGGCAAGTGGGAGGATTTTCCACCACTGCTGGCCCTGAGGGCCCGGCTCCTCACCGGATGTGATCCTTGGAACTGCACTGCCTGCTCCTTAGGCACAAATCTGAACATTTGGAACTCACGGAAGCCTGCAGATGAAAGGAAATCATTTTGTCCCCAAATAGTTTGAAAATTATTTGGTGGGCCTTCACTTTCATGGGTCTTAACCCGTAATTACAAAACCTGCTTTGTGATCTGTCCACGTGTCCATGTGTCCATGCTCGGTGGACTCTGTTGCCCAAAGCAAGAGTTAAGTAGTCTCACAGTTCAGTGAAACTTGCTTAGGCAAAGCTTGTTTTACCTCATGGCCTTTACTTGCTCTCCTTAAAAGGAGAATGTAGGTTAGTCAAGGTGAATGTATTCTGCCATAGAACAGAGTGGGTTTTAGAAACCAGTTTTCATTTATTTTTTTTAGTATATTTTTTACAAAAAGATTAGCTTCGAATGGAACAAAGGAATCATAACTATTTAAGGTAGGCATTTCTCTAGTGCTGGGGTTAAGACTTAACCTAGAGCTGTGTTCAGTATGTTGTAAAGGCTGTTGTAAACAAGGTTTTTTTGGTGTGTGTGTGTGTTTTAACAGGGTTTTACTGTGTAGTTTAGGCTGGCCTTGAACTCACTGTGTAGTCTAGGCTGGTCTCAAACTCAAGGAGATCCTCATGCGGCAGCCTCCTGTGGGTGGAGATTATAAGCCATGCACTCACCATACCTGGCCAGTTTAGGGGGTTTTTTTTGTACCAGAACCAAACTCACGATCTTACATTCACCAGGCAAGTGCTTGAGCTGCTAAGCTAAATCCCCAGCCGGTTTAGCTTTTTTTTAGTGATTTTGAAAAACTTTAAAGTGGATTCCTGGGCTCCACTTCAGATGCATTAAACTGTTTGTACTCTGAAAAGGGGGTTCATAAAAGCCCTCCTCTATTAAGTAGTTTTCATCAGCTTTCAGTTCTTAAATATTTATTTGCCTAACAATTAGAATGACAGTTCTGAGATGGAAGAAAAGTTGACAATTTAAGGACTTCCCAAATCATTTCTTCCTCTGCCATTTGACATTTGGGACATTTCACCCTCAAGATTTAATCAACAGTTAAGTATTTGTTAGTGCACTTCCTGTGCAGTAGACAAATACCCATTTACATTTAGACCTCAGGAAAAAGTAGTTTTTTAAAAATAATGCTATCATAGATATTTTATACAGTATATACAGAGAGCAAGTGAGCATATGTACACTATATATGTACTGTATAGATGTACAACTATATAGTAGAAATATATCTATAGATATGTATATAAGCATAGTAGATATATATCTATAGATACGTATATAACTATAGATATATATATACTATCTTACTCTAATAATGCTAGCTGTATCACCGAAGAAATTTAACCTTCGTATTTATTGCCTGAAAATACATTTTCTTTCCCTTCCCCTAGCCATCTCCATTGAACTCAGGGGGTAATGAACTACAACTCTAGCTCTTTTTATTTTATTTTTTTTGTCATTTTGAGACAGGGTTTCACTATGTAGTTCAGGTTGGCCTTGAATTCTCAGGGATCCTCCTGCTTCAGCCTTCTGAGTGCTGGGATTATAGGCATGCACCAACATGCCTGGCTTTTTGTTATTTCTTGAGACAAGATCTTACTAATTTTGTCCAGGCTGGCCTCAAACTTGTCATCTTCCTACCTCAGCCAAGTACCGCAGCTGAGATTACAGACATGTACCACTGCACCTGGCTTCTTTTTGTCTTCACTCCTGTTTTTGTTTATTTGCATTACTGGAGATCAAACTGAAGGTTGCCTGCATGCTAAGCTAATGCTGCACCAGCAATGTACATGAAACTTTAACAGAGTTACCGTGGGAGTCTCAAGATTGAAGACTGTGCTACAGCAGCAGTCTGGCTCCAACAGGATTATGATATAATCACCTCGACCATCAGAGGACATTTGAAAATTTTCCATTTGGGGCTGGGGATTTAGCTCAGAGGCATAAGGGCCTGCCTTGCAAGCAGACAGTCGTGAGTTCGATCCCCGGTACCGATAAAAAAGAAAAATACAAAAAAAAAAAAAAAAAAAAGAAAATTTTCCATTTGGAGTCACAATACATACCATTGAGATTGGACTCATTCACAGTGTTCAAGAGCATTTAGAATCTGGTTATGACAGGAAATAAAACAGTAAAACAATTTTAATTTGCTTTTAAATTTCCACATTAGAGCATGATTATTGTCTTAATAATCTGTTAGATTGGTTCCGTAGCATAAGCAGGATTCTGTGAAAATGAAAAGCTCTGGTTTGTTTAGTTAAGTATTGCCGTTCATTGCATAAGCATTTCCAGCAGGACTTTCACCTCCCAGGTATCCCTGCAGTCCGACTGGAGGACAATCTTTGCCTCTTGGGATTACACATTGACAGGCAGGCGCCTTCTGCACGCCTGTGGCCGCACTGCCGACACAGGCTGTGGGGTTGCTCATGCACTGAAGTTTACAAAGCAAGCTGTGCTGTTCTTAAATGTGAAAGCTCTCCAGGACAGGACCATTGGAATTAAACTGAAGGGGTTTTATGTTTGTTGGTTTGTTTTTTTTGATATCGGGAATTAAACTCATGACCTCACACTTGTCAGGCAGGTGCTATTGCCATTGGGCTAAATTCACAGGCCTAAACTACAGGTTTATTTCCTGGATAGGATGACTAGTTTGCCACCCCCCCCCCCACTGCCTTTTTATTTATTTATTTGTCTTTTTCCTTTTTATCGGTACCGGGGATTGAACTCACGACTGCCTGCTTGCAAGGCAGGTGCTTATGCCACTGAGCTAAATCCCCAGCCCTGCTTTTTTATTTATAATTGGTGATAGGAAATACAATTCAGTTTGTAGTGTAAGTCGGAAAACAAAAATTTTGCTTAAATTTTTTTGAGCTGTCTGTGCATTAGAAATTTTAAAAGCCTCTTTAGTTAGTATTCAGAAAATCCTGGAAAACTGTTTTACCCTTATGGGTAGGATGGAAGGTTTTTTAGGCAGTGCTAGGGCTTGAACTCAGGATTTCACACATGTGAGGCAAGTGCTTTAGCACCCTGGTGCGACCCCACCTCTGCACTTACTAATATAAAATTATTTTCATACAGACGTACACTTAATCAGCAATGTTTGACTCTCTAGAGAGGAAGTTCTCTGGCTGCTTGTGAGACCTTGCCTTTACCTGCTATTGGGTGTGTTTTGTGGTGTTTTACTTTATACACACCCAGGAAATTTTGAGGCTAAGATGTGGACCTGATAAGATCTGTTAAAGGACATTTTTATCTCAGAAAAGAAGCCTGGTTTGATTGAGGTTGTGCAACAGATTTATTAATTTATTTGATGATTCACATTTCAAAAGGTACAGAGAGTATAGGGTGAACTGTGTCCACCTATCCCAGCAAGCCAGGGTCACCACTTGGCTTCACCTTCCCAGAGGTATTTTTCATACTGCTGGTGGCCCCAGAAGTGCCATTCACATCTTATTTTTCCTCACTCAGTATACAGGGTGTCGTAGAGGAAGTTTTCACTTCATGGTGAAGGGAGTTTGTCTCATTCATTTTTCTAACGTTAATAAAAAAAAAAGTAGTAAAGGAACTACATAGTCTTTGAGCAGTGTCTGTAGGATAAATTCCTCTTACTTGTGGCTTTGCAGTTGTGATAATGTATTGCCAGTTCCTCCAAAGTTTGCAGTATTGTTACTTTGTGCTTAGCAACATGTACAGAACAGCCACAAACACTGGGAAGCTTGCTGAGTCATGAGTACTAAACCTGTTGCTCCTACCTGACACAGATTAGTGATGCTGTATCTCTAGCTTTCCTGATTAGCTGCACATTGACAGGATTTTTATGACATATATTTTTATGACATTTTTATACATACCTAGTGATGAGTTGCCAAATTTATGAACACTGGGAAATTTACCTATTTTATAGTTATCTGTATTAAGAATTTTCATACATCCTTGCTGACTAAGTCTGTTTTCACAATTTTTGTCTGTACTGCAAAAACATATGTAGAATATAGTATATTTAAAGGTTTTCCAAGTTGGGTTTGGTGGTGCACACCTGTAATCCCAGCACTTGGGAGGCTGAGGCAGGAGGATCACTGTGAATTTGAGACCAGGTTGGGCTACATAGTGAGTTCAAGGAAGCCTGAACTATATAGTGCAGCCTTGTCTCAAAAAGTGATTACAAGCTGGCTGTGGTGGCACGTGCCTGTAATTGCAGCACTCAGAAGGCTGAGGCAGGAAGCTCTTTGCAAGTTCAAGACCACTAGGGGCTGAAAGTGAGCTCAAGGCCAGCCTGAACTGCATAGTGAGACCTTGTCTCAAAAAGACCCCCCTCCCAAATAAATTTAAATACATACATACATAAATACAGGATGGTTTTCCCAAGTATCACTGCCTTGGCACCTGAGATAGGTTAATCGTCTTAGCTGTTTAGCAGATTTCGTATCTGTCTACCTGCTTACCTATCATGGTTGCTTGCTTGCTTGCTTTACTTACTGACAATGGGGATGGAACCCAGGACTTTTGCTCTGAGCTACATTCTTAACTCAGACCAGGTTTGAACTTGTGGTGCTCCTGCCTCCCAGAATGGTAGGATTACAGGCGTGCCCCACCAAGCCTGACATACTGTGCTGAATGTAGGCTGTTTATTTTCTTTAAAAGTTTTGTTTGATTTGTAAACAAACTCACCGATAAGTAATACAGTAACAAAAGTTGGCTTTAACTGCATTTTCCCCCCAATTAGTTGGTGACAAAGTTCCTGCTGATATAAGATTAACTTCCATCAAGTCTACAACTCTAAGAGTCGACCAGTCTATTCTCACTGGTAAGTATCACTGAAACCTTGTCTTTTTAGCTGAAAAATAATTGGTTTTAGGGGCCGGGGATGTAGTTTAGTAGCATAGAACCTGCCTGTTAGGTGCGGTGAGGTTGTGAGTTCCACCTCTGGTCCAAACAAACAAAAAAATAGTTTGGTTTTAAAATAAAATCACAAGTTTACTTTTTAAAAAGGTTACTAGTTTCTTTGTTAGCCGAGGTGATAATCTTTTTTTTTTTTTTTTTTTTTGGTCTTTTTCCTTTTTTTCGGTACTGGGGATCGAACTCACGACTGCCTGCTTTCAAGGCAGGCGCTTATGCCGCTGAGCTAAACCCCCAGCCCCCGAGGTGATAATCTAAGGTTGAGTGTTGCTCTCTGGTCCTGCAAGAAGTAACTAACTTACTCAGAGCCCTTTCTCCAGGCAATGAAAATGGACCTGAGTGCTGTAATATTTCTTGTTAGAAGAATTCTAATCTTACATCTAACATGATTTGCAATAAACAGTTGTACAGTTAACAAAAGTTAGCCAAAAAAAGAAAAAAAAAAAAGTAACTGTTGCGCTACCTGGAGTTGGCACTCATAGATTTATAATTGTTTGAAACATTTTCTCAGTTTTGTGTGACACACATACAATGCAGGGTGGAGTGGAAGTAAGGTGGTCAGATGATTGTCAGGAACAGTGCCAACCTGAATTCAACAGAAAGTCTGAAGGCTGTGAAATTTATCTGATTATCAGTGTTGGAGAGCAACTGATATCATACAGAGTGTATAACCTCTGCCCTTTCAATTTGTTTTCTTTGATTTTATTTTGATGAATGTTTTACCTGGTAAAACTTAGCAGAAACAGGCTGCAAGCAATTAAGGTATAAATGTTGGAGCGGGAGTTGGGTTGTGTGTGTGAAATTCTCAGGGTTTTTCCACAGAAACGGAGGGTCCTCTTCTATTAAACAGTCACACTGTAGTTTTAGGCTACTGAAGAATCATTTTTTTGTCAAATATTTAGAGTATGAAACTGAGTGGTCATTCCAGAATAAGAAGGTAATTGGAATTTTATTTTAAAATTAAGCTCTTATTGTGTTGAGTTTATTTTGATTTGTTTGTTTGTTTTGGTACTGGGAATCCAAACTCACGACTTTGCTCTTGCCAGGCAGGTGCCATGTCCCTGAGCTATATCCCCAGTTGTTGTTGTTGGGGTTTTTTTTGGGGGGGGGGGCGGGGGAGGTTGGTATTGTTGGTGGTTTTTCCAATAGCGCTTCACTATGTATGCAGTTCAGGTTGGCCTCAGATTCACAGCAATTCTCCTGCCTCAGCCTCCCCAGTGCTGTAGTCCACAGGCATGCATCCCTATGACTGGCAAACAAACTCCTTTATTTTGAAAATGTGTTTCCTTTTTTTTTGTCTTTTTTGAGACGGGGTCTTGATATGCAGTTCAGACTGGCCTTGAGCTTACTTTGTAGCGCAGGCTGGTCTCGAACTCGCAAGGATCCTCCCACCTCAGCCTCCCGAGTGTTGGGATTACAGGCGTGAGCCACCATGCCCGGCAAAATTGTATTTCTTTTAATCCTGATGTTCTTGGTTGTGCAATATTCTTTTATAATTTTTATTACTAAATTTTCCCAGTTTTCTTTTCCAGAACATTCCTTTTCCCATATTGACAGTGTCTTAGGAATGGTAATGGGTGGTTATGGATGAGGGTTCCCAGGTTTAACTGCCCTTTGTGTCTCACAACTTGTTTAGGTGAATCCGTTTCAGTCATCAAGCACACTGACCCTGTCCCTGACCCACGGGCTGTCAACCAAGATAAGAAGAACATGCTTTTTTCTGTAAGTGCTTTATCAAAGTTTAGGTGGGTATTGATAGTGCTGGGGATTGAACCCAGGGACTCACACAGGTTAAACACCTAATCTACCACTGAGCTACACTTTGAACCTCACCAGGTTTTTTTTTTTTTTTTTTTGGAAGAGGGCAAGATCTTATATTGGGATTTTAATCCAGGAAGAACAAGATGGTCTCCTACATTGTGTAGATTTGCTTCAAATTTGTAATCCTCCTGCCTCAGCCTCCTAAATAGCTTAGATTGTAGGTTTTCATCACTTGCTTGACTTCAAACACATTTTATTTAGAGACAGATCGAGTCTCAAAGGTGTCTGGTTGATTTTTACTGACTGCTTTTAGTGGTAAGACTTTAGAAAGTGTTGGATCTTATTCCAAAGGATAATAATACTCTTCTTGTTCAGTCTTAGCTGTCAAAAAACAGTGGTTAACAGAGCCAGGGGTGTGGCTCAGTAGCAGAGCACACGCTTAGCATGTATAAAGTCCCCATGGCTCCCTCACGCCCTTGAAATAAAAGAAACCAGTGAAACACAGTGGCAGAATGTGCGACTTTAGATGGCTTTTGTTTTGATTGGCAAATTGTTGAGGACAAAAGATGCTGAGGTCAAGTGCATTAGAACTTGTATCTGTAAGAGTTGGAGAGCAGATCTGTTTGGGAAAGGCCTTAGCCCGGGAGGGTGTTTTGGGAGGGTTTACAGGTGTTGCTGATGGTAGTGGTACTGGTTTGTGATGAAGAGGGGTGTGTGGGGAGTGAGTGGACAAGCGTATTAGACCAGTAACGGTGAGGTGCGTGGAGAACATGTGGGGGTTTTTTGTGCTGTTTTGGGTGATTTGAAAGTTTTTTTTTTAAAATAGTGCACTACAATGGTATTTCAAATAGTGGCCTTTTGTGGGTTTGTGGGAAACTTTACCCACAGGAAGTAAAGCACCATAGTTATAGTGAAAATAACAAAGCCGTGTCATTCCGACACTGGGAGTGACGGTGAAGTGGAAAGACAATTCTTACACTGGTGGGATTTGGTCAGTGCTGATACTTGACGCTTAAAATATTCTGTTTGGGGCTGATTCCCCCTTTTACAGCTGACCCAAGTGGGAGCCAGAGATGGAGCTGCAGAGGGTTGAGGGCAGTGTGGAGTTTGCAGAAGGGGTAGAGCGTGGCAAGCCCAAAGGTAGCCAGCAGGTGCAGTTCCATGTTATGAGCTGAGAGCCAGACAGATCAGTGTGCAGCTGGGTAGGGAGGCACTGCGGAATCTCAGCCAGGTTTGGGGAGGTGAGAGGGATGTCACTGCCTGCATGAGGGCTTGTTCACTGTCACTGCAGCCGTGGGATGTCCCTAGTAGAGTGTGATGAGGGATCTGGGTTCCTTGGTCAAAATCCAGTGACTGAATTATCTGGTCAGTGCTGTCCTAAAGTGGACGTATTAATCTTGTGACCAGTTTTCCTTGTACTTCTCCCTAGGGTACAAACATTGCTGCTGGGAAAGCCATGGGAGTGGTGGTGGCAACTGGAGTTAACACTGAAATTGGCAAGATCCGAGATGAGATGGTGGCCACGGAACAAGAGAGAACACCGCTTCAGCAGAAACTGGATGAATTTGGGGAGCAGCTTTCCAAAGTCATCTCGCTCATTTGCATTGCAGTCTGGATCATAAACATTGGGCACTTTAATGATCCAGTGCACGGGGGCTCCTGGATCCGAGGTGCTATCTACTACTTTAAGATTGCAGTGGCACTGGCTGTTGCAGCCATCCCTGAGGGTCTACCTGCTGTCATCACCACCTGCCTGGCCCTCGGAACTCGAAGAATGGCAAAGAAAAATGCCATTGTTCGAAGTCTTCCGTCTGTGGAAACCCTTGGGTGTACTTCTGTTATCTGTTCGGACAAGACTGGTACACTTACTACGAACCAAATGTCAGTCTGCAGGGTAAGAGCGTCCTTTTCACATTCTCCTATGGTTCTGTTTGTCCCAAACATACCCCTTCATGCCATCAAAACTTTGTAATTTGAAACTATGTTGTATGAGGCTTGAGCCAACCTAATACTTGAGAAAGGAATGAATCATGTAATTTCTAAAACTGTCTTAAGAAATGGCAGGGGATGAGGGGTTATAGCTCAGCCACACAGCGCCTGCCTGGCAAGCGTGAGGTGTGAGTAGGCCCCGGAAACGAGAGTTGTCTTCATGACTGACAACAGTCTGTTCAGGGTGTTAACCAAAGGCTTTTCTGTTTCTTTGACTTTCTGTCTATAAATGTAGGTGTGTCAACAGGCATGTTTCTAGAGGAAGCAGCTAGTTACCTTCCTACCTGAAATCCTAACTTAACTAATATTTGATGAATTACGGTTTTTCCTAGAAAGTAGGCAGGAGGATTGCAAGTTTGAGACCAGCCTGAACAACATACAGACACTGAGAAAGGGCTGGGATGTAGCTCAGAGATAGACTGCCTCCCTAGCATGTGTAAGCCCCTGGGTTCAATCCCCAGTGCCATTAAAGGAAGAAAAGGCCAGAATGAATAATGTGATATAATGAAGGTTTATTTTGTTTTATGTTTGTGGTCCTGGGTCATTACCTAGCACACCCTTCTTGCTGGGTAGATGGTGCTCTGCCTATGAGCTGCACTCCAGGCCCACAGGCTTTGGTGAAATTCGTTTACAGGGGCACAGTGCTGCATGCCTAGAAACGTTCCCTTGAGCTTAGGAGTTTGAGACCAGGCTGGGCAGCACGGACCCTCTATCTCAGAAACATTTTCTTCACTAAAACAAGCTAGTGCAGTCAGGATAGGACAGTAAGTGTCACTCATTAAGTTCTGTAGATGGGATGACATGTGGCAGAGTTTTGATTTCTCATTAATTAGCAAGGTGAGTTGTAAAATTGGCATTAGAAGAGAATTTAAGGAAATACTAATAGGATTGGTGGGCTAGGTTTCCAAAACTTGTACCTGTAGGGAAATAAATTACATGTTTTCTGCAGAGTACAATTCCATGTCTTCATATTATAGGGCCCCACTATAGCAGAAACAGGGCTGAGTTTTTTTTCCAAGAGTGAACCTTGAAAAGTGATTCTGTATGACATTAAAAGGATGTAGTCATTCTTTTGGCCTCATCGCTAGGTTTTATATAATAATTTTTTCTTTTAGCATCAAACCCTGCATATGTTTATTTTGCTAATTTCAAATTCAGGATGTTTGTGGGTGGGTGTTTTTTGTTTGTTATTTTCTTGAGACAGAATCTCACTGTGTAGTTCAGGTCAGCCTTTAGTCACTACATAGCCCAGAGTGCTTCCATCTTGAAGTGATCCTCCTGTCTCAGACTCCCCAGTACAAGTCAGTGCAGTGAGATTGCTGGCATGGCCACTGTATCCCGCTCTCGATGGTGTAAGCTATGTTTCCCCTAAGCCTGTGCTGTTCCTCCCAGCCCCCTACCCCTGAATTTTGTGATGACTAAAGCCAGCTTTAGAGGTGATGGGCAGATGTTTGAAGCAGATTGGGGCATCCCACCTCAGGTGGTCAGCTTCCAGGTTTGTCTTAGATTTCTCCAGAAGAAAAGGGTTTCACTCTGGAACTGAAAGGTGGAGTAAACTGGCTAGAAACCTGGTTTTGTTTTGTTAGTTTGTTTTGGAATCAGGAATTGAATTCACGACCTCGCACTTGCTAGGCAGGCATTTGTGCTGCTGAACTAAATCCCTAGCCCCAGTGTTCTGTTCTGTTCTGTACCAGGGCTTGAGCTCACGACCTTGCACTTGCCGGGCACATGCTTATGCCACTGTTGTGTTGTTTTCTGAGACAGGGTTTTGCTATGTAGTTCAGGGAGGCCTTCAGCCCACTGTAGCCCAGCTTGGCCTTAAACTTGAGGTGATCCTCTTGCCTCAGCCTTTTGAGCGCTGGAATTACAGGTGTGCACCATGATGCCTGGTCCAAATATTTTCTTGTATAAAAAGAAAGTTTGCATTTTCTGAGTTAACTGTTCTTTCCAACAGAAAGCTAGTGGCAGTCTATTCCACAGGAGGTTTCTTGTTGTGCTGTTGCATAAATGGCCTTGACTTTTTTTTTTTTTTTTTTTTTGGTGGTACTGGGAATCTAACTCAGGACCTTGTGCTTGTCAGGCAGGTGCTTATACTGCTGGGCTATATCCCTGGGCCTAGCTCTGGCCTTGATTCTGACCCTGACCCTGACCCTGACCTTGAGGGTTTTTGCCTGCAGATTTAAATGTTTTATCTGCTCACAGTATAAAACGTCCAAGCACATTTAGCTGATGCGCTTTAGAGTTCTGAGTGTCTTCTAGAGTACTTCAGACTGGTATAGACCCAAAAAGAGTTTCACATTTTAGGCATAAAGTAACTTTAAAGAAACAGGGTAGAGTGTGTAATAATGCCCACCTGCTGACATTGAGTGGGCCAGTCTGTTCGTAGTGACTTTGTGTGAACTGTGTGTAGTCCTGCTCGCCAGGTTAGAGACTGAAGGCTGGGAGGCACATGGCAACGTTTGGGGTCTGTGATGCTTGGTGCTGGGGTCCAGGTCAGGGCACTGCCATCAGCCTGCCAGTGGAGCTGTTCTCTAGCCCGTGCCACTTTGGTTTTTTTTTTTCTGTAAAATACCAAGCCTCTTTGGAAAGAGCATTTTTGATGAACTTCAGGGTTTTTCTGTTTTGGTTTTCGAGAGGGTTTCATTTTGTGTGCCAGTCTGGCCTCAAACTCTTAGCCGTTCTCCTGCCTCTTGGCCTCTTGAGTGCTGAGATTACAGTGTGTGCCACAATGCCTGGTGTGAACTTCATGTTTTATAGTATTATATCTGTTAGAAAAATAATGGCAAGCAGAAATGAGGAATCACGTAGTGTGTAACCTCAGACTTTTTGAGTTTTCATTTGACAAAATCTTTGAACTAGAATCTTTGCTTAAATTGTGCTGTGTGTAACCTTGAACACAGACCTTCTTTCATTTGTCTAAACTTTTGAACTAAAATATTTCCTTCAGAGCCATCAGTGTTTTAAATTCCATTGTATTTGATTTTTATTTTGTCAATCTGTGATATCTCGATTTTAGATCTTTTCCAGGACTGATTTAGTTCTGAGTCTGCTTTTTAAATGAAGACTTTGGAGTTTAAATTACGTACTATATAATAAATCATATGAAGCAAAAGAAGTTAGTGTAGAATAAAAATGAGCCCATTTTTGAAATGCTCTGGAAGATGTGTTCTTTAAATCATAAAATGGCTTCTTTGCCTTGTTTAACATTTCAAAATATACTCCTTGAAAAATTATTATTTGAAGGGGCCAGGGATATAGCTTAGCAGCACAGTGCCTGCCTGGCACGTGTGAGGTCCTGAGTTCAATCTCCAGTGCCAGGAAGAAAAAAAAAAGATCAGTTTTTGAGGCCAGGTCTCACTCTGTAGCCCAGACTGTCCCTGAACTTAGAGCAGTCCTGCATCCTCAGCCCCCACCGAGTGCTGGGGTTACAGGCGTGCACCACCACAATCAGCTTTCTTACGTTTTTGAAACAGGGTCTTGTTAAATTGTCTAAGCTAAGGTCAAACATGCAGTTCTTCTACCTCAGCCACAAATTAAGACAAAAGTCCATCTTTAAGAAAAGTAGCTTATGTCCTTTGGTTTGGTTTGGTTCGAGACAGGCTCTCTTGGTGTACTTTAGGCTTGCCTTGGACTTACTGTTGTCCACCTGCCCCAGCCTCCCACATGCGGGGGTTACAGGCCTGCACCACCTGCTCAGCTTCTTGGTTCTTCAGTAACATTCACATTCCTGGGCTGGGGCTGCATCTCAGGGGATAGTGCTTGCCTTTGCCTGCACAAGGCCCTGTGTTGATCTCCAGCACCACCCAGAGGTTGGGGGGAGGGTTCTGAAAGTGCAGGCCATTTGTCTAGGGGAGAGCACTTCACTTGGCCCTGCTGGCTCCTTACTGCATACATGTAGTTAGGCGCCTTCATAGAAAATGAGCTATTAGCCGGGCATGGTGGCTCATGCCTGTAATCCTAGCACTTGGGAGGCTGAGGTGGGAGGATTCTTTCGAGTTCGAGACCAACCTGGGCTACAAAGTGAGCTTAAGGTCAGCCTGAACTGCATAGTGAGACCCCCGTCTCAAAAAAGACAAAAAAAAAAAAAAAGCTATTACTACAATAAAGTCAGTGGGGAGGTGCAGTGAAGCAGTTTGTCTGATTTTACTCAGGGAGTGTTTATGCAGCTCTGAAATGTGAGTTTATTCTTCCCAAACTTTTATGCTTAGCTCTGAGACATGACTACCCAATATCAGTTTCCTAGCCAGCCAGTGGAAATTTGGAGTTCTGAACCTTCTAGAATAATCCCAATCATTGGTGTTGCCCTTCTGCTGATCTAGAGTTCTTGTGTCTTCAGTGTGGTGTTGTCACCTGTGTCTTTGGTGCCATTGCTGTTTCTTACTGATTCAGCACAACTGTTAACTGCAGGATAGGATGGAGTGGTGATCTAAAACAGCAGTCAGATAAGGGACAGTCCTAAGGCTGAATGAACTTCAGGGAATTGTATTAAAATTATTTTCTTAAACGTTTTTCTGGGGCTGGGGATGTAGCTCAGTGGTGTAAGTGCCTGCTTGGCAAATGTGAGATCGTGAGTTCAATCCCTGGTACAAAAAAACGGTTTTTGACAGGTGTGGTGGTGCACATCTGTAATCCTACCACTCAGAAGGCTGAGGCAGGAGTATCATTTTGAGTTTGAGTCCAGCCTGGCAAGTACAAAAAAAGAGAAAATTTTGGGGGATTAAGGATATAGCTCAGTGGTGCAACACCTGCCTGGCAAGGGTGAGGTCCTGAGTTCTAGTTCCAGCATGAAGGATTGTGATACATAATAATCTTTTAAATACTGTTCTGCTTCTTCTCCCACAGATGTTCATTCTGGACAAAGTTGAAGGTGATACTTGTTCCCTTAATGAGTTCACCATAACTGGCTCAACATATGCACCCATGGGAGAAGTGTGAGTAACCCACCCTCCACGTCGTCCATAGGTGGCATTATAGTGCCCATATAGTTTTAGGGTGGTTGTGAAAGGTGTGACAGGGAAGGGAATATAGTTTACCATCATGAAATCAATGAATCAATGTGGCTCAAGTTGGTACTCTTTGTTAGTGGAGTACATTAAAATGAAATAACACTTTAAAAAAGAAAATGAGCCAGGTCTGATGGTGCATGGCTGTAACCCCAGCACTAGGGACGCTGAGGCAGGAAGATGGCTGAAAGTTTAGGGCAGCCTGGTATCAGTATATAGTGAGTTCAAGGCTAGCCTGAACTGTGGTGGTGAGACCCTGTCTCAAAAAAGAAAAAAAGGAAAACAGATTATTAAGAGGTGAGCTTGTATTTCAGTGCTAAGAGCCTGGGTTCAATCCCTAGTACTGCCATAGTGGAGGTGGTGGTTATAAACGAATCATTGTTGGCTCTGTGTGTGTGTGTGTGTGTGTGTATGTGTATGTGTGTGTGTTTCCCTTTGTCTTTTTGAGTCAGGGTCTCATTATGCAGTTCAGGCTGGCTTTGAACTCACTTGGTAGCCCAGGCTGGCCTTGAACTCCCAGCGATCCTCCTGCTTCAGCTTTCCAAGTATTGCGATTACAGGCATGAGCCTCCTGGCCCTTGACTCCATTTTTGGATCCAGCTTCTTAAATATAGGCTTTTTGTTTGTTCTTCATTAATACCAATGGTGGAAGAATTTTATTGACTAAGGATTTTTGGATTTGACCAGTCAATTCCTGTATCAGAGATGTATTCTTTCTGTTGTGTTCTTAAATCTTTTTATTAGTGCAAGTTTGCAGTATGTAATTACATTCATTGTGGGAAGTCAGTATATTCTCTGCTTAGTTTCACATTAACCCCAATTCAATATTTTTTAAATATTTTTATTTTTTGTTGTGCTGGGAATCAAACCTCAAACCTAATGCTGACTTTCAAATGGGTACATAATCTCTGTTTGTTTGATTTGTGTTTTGTTTTTGAGACAAGATCTTACCTAGTGTAGATCAGGTTGGAATTAAACTTATAGCAATCCTCCTGCCTCACCTTGCTGAATGGTGGGATTCCTGGTGTGTGCTACCATGCCTGGCTCTAACATTTGATTTCAGAGAGCCGTCACACTCTGTCTGTCTGTCTGTCTATCTATCTATTTATTTGTCTTTTTGAGACAAGGTCTTGCTATGTAGGTCATGCTGGCCTTAAGCTCACTTTGTACCCCAGGCTGGCTTTGAAATTGTAAGGATCCCCTGTGGCAGCTGGGATTACAGGATCAAAAAATTTTTTTTGATGCATTTTTAGACTACTGTCCCCAAAATTCTGTTTTGAAAGAAAAATCAATAGTGGCAATCACACTGCTTCAAGAGTGTTTTCTCTCTTGACAGGCATAAAGACGATAAGCCAATAAAATGTCATCAATATGATGGTCTTGTAGAATTAGCAACCATTTGTGCTCTGTGTAATGACTCTGCTTTGGATTACAATGAGGTGAGTCTGTTCCTAAAAGAAAAGCTAGAGTTCACAGTTTCTTATTTAAGGGTGGGGTGGCTTGAAGGATAATCCAGCCCCCCTTCTTACCTTTTGAAAGCAGGGTTCTTAGATTTATTTTCCTCTTCCGTTCAAGAGTCTATCTCTAGCATCATCTGGCCAAAGAAAGCCGCGTGCTATTTGTAGGTCTCTGACTAAGCATTGCAGTTTGTTGCCTAAGAATTTTATGCTATATCCTCAATTGTGCACATCGTGATTATTATGTAAATGAGTAAAACCCAAGTTAGAAGGTGTTTTCTGGAGGGAACGGGGTATTGATTTTTAAGGTGGCTAGCTGTGTATTTTTTGGACAAGCTTAAAACTTTGATGTATATGATAGTGGCAGTGTATGCCCATAATCCCAGCTCTTTGGGAGACAGAGGCTGGTGGATCACAATTCTGAAGCCAGCTAGCTTTCTTTTTAATACTGGAAAAAATATTTCCCTTTCTGTCTCATGGCAAGCTAGGCCTAGTCAGAGTTAGGGTGTTACCTCCTCAGTGATGAGCAGTGATCTAGAGTTTGAAACCTAGTGTTCGAAAGTTCCTTGAATGAATACTCTGATTGGTGGCTTCTTACACTCAGGTGAAATAATACCTACTATGATTAGTGGAAAGGAAATGCGAAAGCTACTGCATAGAAAAGGTATCATGTATGCCTGCACTTTGGGTATGTTTTTAGTTATCTGGGTACTCTGCTGTAACGTAGGGGAAAAGTGGCCCGTAGAATAATGATGTAAGATGCCAAGTTGTCTTTCTGTGTGGGAAAAAAAAGAAATTTACCTGTTTACTTCCTTTTTAATTAATACAGGCAAAAGGTGTGTATGAAAAAGTTGGAGAAGCTACAGAGACTGCTCTCACTTGCCTGGTTGAGAAGATGAATGTATTTGATACTGAACTGAAGGGTCTTTCTAAAATAGAACGTGCAAATGTCTGCAACTCGGTCAGTACTTGCATTTGCTGTGTTGTTCGTCCAGCCATCAGTCATACCATATCTGCGTAGTCCATTCACTCTCCTGCTCTCTCAGACAACTAATTATATCTTCTCAAACTTGTAATACCTACCTCCCTATATTCATGCCCAGGTAAATGATTTTGCTATTTGAACAAGAAAAGAAAAGCAAGCAATAGATAATTTCCGAACAAACTAATTAGATAATTTTCTTAAATAATCAGCTGAGCCCACCAGGGGTGTGATTGGACTTATTCCTATCAAAAGCCAGGGGCTTCTCCTGCAGTTCAGTTCCCCTCTCAGTGCTTCATCAGCACAGGGCAACATGCAGAGTACGTTGTTATCTTAAACCTCTCTTTGACTTCATTTCCTATTCAGCACTCCACTTCTCTCTTTTCTTACATAATAAAATTTCTTGAAAGGCCTGTTTTTAACACACTAACTTGGTCCACTCCTGTTTTCTTGAAGCCTTTCCAGCCAAATTCTTGCGTCCATCAGTCCATCAAAACCTCTTCTCAGAGCCCCCGTGACCCAATGCTGTTCCAGCAGCGCATGGCCTGTGTATGTACCTAGGAGCACATTTAAAGGCCATAAAGCAGATTGGTCAGATCAGAAAGGAAAGAAGTCTGTAATTAGAGCTGCAGGTTAATACATTTAGTAATCTAATAAACAAATGGAAAAATCAAGTCATTCCAAAGATTTGGACAACAGTATATATTCATGATGAAATCTGCATTTCTGTCACTCTTCTTCTCGTGCTCTCTGATACTTACGGAGTGCTCACCTAAGTAGACAGCCCTGCTGGTCTGGAAGGCAGGACTTACAGGTTATCAGGAATTGACTGCTAAACAGTGGACCTAGACAGTGGTGACCAGCAAGTCTCCCAGAATATTGGGAAGTTAATCCGATAGTCTGTATGTTACAAAAGGAAAACACTGCTGGGAATTAGAGAAAATTTGGATCTAGAAAATACGCTGCACTGCATTAAAATTTGTATCTTTTAAGTACACAGAGTACCCAAAGGTTAAAAATCAGTGATAAAAAGCTGTCTGAAGAAAGAATAAGGGAAAGGAAATGAGCAGGCAGTTGTGGGGCTGGAGGGACAGCTCAATGGCAGCAGTGCCCAGCGTGCACCAGGCCCCAGAATTGTTAGTAGCAGCTTTGTGGCAGTAAGTTCAACAGTGTAGAACCTGAACAGCCCCAAATCCTTTTAGGGACAGAGCTTTCTAAGTCAACCCAAGAAAATTTTAATAGGAAATTGTAAATTAAAATCCACCTTCTCCAAAACTTGCCAGCCAGTGTTGCTAAACATACAGCGGAAATAATACTGCTTTTCCCAGACCTTGTTAAGAGAAAGAAAAGCAAAACAAACTCCCTTGACGAGGTCAGCATGCTTGTGACATCAGCCAGATGTGTGGTCTCCAAGCCCTGTCCTGCCACTCGCTGTGGACACAGCCGATGGCAAAGCTGGAGCCTGCACCGTAGCCCAGCAGCCTGACCAGGTGTCTGTTGAAGAGCTACCGCTCCCCCTTCCTCCCCAGGGTGTGACACTGCCCTGGCACTGGACCTGACTTCCTGTGGCCTCACAAGCCCCGTGAGGCTGCACCTGAGTTGAGTGGTCTGCAACAGCTGTTGGTACTGGGATTTCTCTGAGCCAGCAGGCGAACCGTCCCGTCACTGTTCACCGGGAAAACGACGCGGCTGGCTATCCTGGCGAGGGTTGGGCGGTGGCTTGGGTAAAGGGCAGTGTGAGACAAGTGTCAGCAGCAAGGGCTGCGCAGATCCAGTGAGAGCGAGCCCCAGCGGCGGGCGGTAGAGCAGCAGCGCGAGACAAGCAGGAAGCTCTGTGCACTTGAGAGAGGCATGCAGAAGCTGGGGAAATAGGTGGGAAGGGGAAGGGGAGTAAGATCCCCTCGCCATACAGCTCGGGCTCCTGGGCTCCATCTGCCAAGCGCCCAGCCCCATCCTGTGGGCAGTGTGAACAGTACCTGCCTTCCATTGTACCCTGCCCAGAGCTTGATTCCTGGCTGCCAGCTTCATCCGTGCAGGTGCGGTCATCACCGGGTGGCTGCCACGTGGCCCCTGATGCCTCGTTGTAGGACTTTGTTATTCCTTGGACCTTCCTGCTAGAATTTAGAGAAATGAGAGGAGGAAAGTAGTTGGCTTTATGTTTAAAGAACAGGCTTGGGGTTGGAGAGGTAAAAGCAAAGGCTTTTTAGTGTTCACGCTTTGCCGTGCTGCAGACCCTTTACCTCTGTCAAGATCCACGGCAGGGTAGGAGGAAGTGTCAAGGACAAGGCCTGGGCTGAGGAAGGGCGGGTGCTGGGGTTCTGCCCAAGACCCCAGGCACTGGAGCCCACCCTCCCCGCATGTGGTGCTTGCAGGGAGGGAGGCACAGCTGGTGTCCGTTGCCGCAGCCTGCTCACTCAAAATGAGGACATCTCAACTGCGGGTGGACTGTGCTTGATTCACAGGTGGGCACAGGCAGGCAGGCCTTGGGTGGCCTGTTAGCGTGTCACCCTGCTGATGTGACTGCTGGGAAATGAGACCCATGTGGGTATTTCACTACATTATCAGCTCACACAATAGGGTGGGCATTCAGATGTCTTGCTGATAGGCAGCTGGAACCACAGGTGTTAATTCATGGCTCCCATTGTGCAGGTTTTTTTTTTTTTTTTATTTTTTATTTTTTTTTTTTTTATTTTTTTTTTTTTAAATTTTTTTTTTAATTTTATTTAAGGAGAAAAGAAAAAAAACGCAGGGAAAGGGTACAAGTTATACAGATTTACAGAAAAAAAATGAACAGTAGGAAATCACTAGTTAATGGATTACATATTGTCATCTTAGAAATAATTGTTCAAGTCACAAAATTAAAGCTTGTAAAGTGGACATTCCATCAATGATACTGCAAACAGTTCTGTTCATTGATCCAATAAAACTCTGTGATATCATTTTCTATCTTATACACTTAAATATACATGCAGTTATATAGTTTGGAGCACTTTCTTTTCCTCTCTTTTGTACAATGACTATTACACATTTTGGGTTTCATTGCTCCCACGGTTCTTATTGCTTTTTTGGAAGAGAGTAAAACCAAATGTGCCATAACAGAACAGAATCGGTCAAGTCAAAAGGGTGGACATAATAGATAATGTAAAAACATAATACAAGGTGATCAACAATGGTTATCATAATGCCTCCCGCTATCTCTAATAGAATTGCCTATATCGTTAGTTATAATACAATTGAACAAAACAGTAAAGAATAAAACCGACAAGACCAAAACATTGGAGACATTGTAGGTCTTCAAAAGTAGATAAAAGTCAACAAGAATGGGCGTCATAATGAATCTCATTATCTTCACAGCTGATGCCTAAACTTTCGAACCTGATACTATCCAGCAAAACAGAATAGGGGAACATCAGTTAAAAACCAGATGGTGAGAGTAATACAGGGCTTTAAATCAAGGTAATGAAAAGTCAAAGTGGATTACTATAATATATCCTGCTATTTTTTTCCTTTAATTAAAAGGATAAAGATAAAAAAGTAAATAATGGAGTGGAGATTGAGATAAAAGAGGGCATAACAACAAAACAGTGCAGATCAAAACATAACCATTTAAGCAGAATAGTGTTTCACCACCAGATAACCCTGACCTAAAAGTAGTTACCATATTGTCTCTCTCTTTGAAATCCTTTAGTACAACTTCGTATACTGTAGCATTAAGTATATCAAAACAATGTAAAACCATTCAAGAGAATAACAGCATTACAGAGTATTTAGAATCGACTAACAGCAAATGAACAATGGTTTCTGTATAATCTCCTTGTCTTTAAAAGGTTTTTGCTTATACTATCGTACATAATAAAATCCAATAAGATACAGCCTATTTAGACCATTGGAGACAGGACAAAAGCTAGATGAGACTTCAAAACAAGATGATACTAAATCAGTATTACCTATTAAGATGTCATTTTCTCCAAAATAGCTGTTCCTATCATCCAATCTTCTCTGCCTCATTTCTGTTGAGCTCTTTTTCTGTCAGTAGCTGTCAGTTTGTCTTCTTCATTTTGTTCTCTGCTCCATTCGTTGTGGCCTCCCCGCCACTATTTCTGGGTTCTTTGTATTTTTCTTTTTTTAGAATATCCTGCAATACTTTCTGTAGAGTTGAATTGGTGGTTGCAAATTCCCCCAGTTCCTCTTTATCCTGGAAGCACCTTGTTTTTCCATCAATTTCCAGGGACAGTTGTGCAGGATATCTCAATCTTGGCTGGAGATTATTATCTTTCAAAGCTTGAATTATTTCCCCCCACGCTCTTCGTGATTTGATGGTTTGTGCAGAGAAATCTGCTGTAATTCTGATGGGTGTTCCCTTGTAAGTGGTCTGTTTCTTGTCTCTTACAGCTTTTAATATTCTGTTCTTGTATTGAATTTCTGGAATTTTTATTATTATATGCCTGGGTGTTGCTCTGTTTGGGTTGTAGGTAGCTGGGGTCCTGTATGCCTCATACATCTGAGTATCTTTACCTTTTGCTAAATTAGGAAAATTCTCCTGGATTATTTCTGTGAGTAGCTTTTGTAGTTCACTTGTTTGTGTCCCTACTTCTTCTTTTATGTTCTTAATCCTCAAGTTATGGATCCTCTTATCATCTTCTTGTCTTTGTATTATTGCTGTTTGTTTCTTTGTTATTTTTAAGAAGTTTTTCATTTCATTCTCCCATATTACAAGTCTGCCCTCCAGTTCAGATAGTCTGTCCTTAGTTTCTTTCAAGCTGTTATGCCAGTCTTCGATAGACTTCTTAGTATCTTGGTAGTCCCTTTGAACCTGCTTCACGTATTCTATGCTTTCTCTGTTTTCTCCATCAAACAATTCTCCCCTTTTTTTCTGTTCTTCCATTCCACCACCTGTTTTTTCTTGGGTGGTACTTAGCATTTCTCTAACTATTCTGCTTACTTCTAGCTTCAGGTCGTTGATAACTTCATTCCTGAATTGGTCTACGAGGCTCTCTATATGGTGCCTTATGTGTATTGGTGTGGTGTCTGCTATTGCCTGTTTCTCAGAATTGGGGGCCGAGGAGCCTTTCTTGTTGCTGCCTCTTCCCATGCTGCCTCTTCTTCTCTGTTCCTTATATATGCAAGCTTATATAAGAGGCCCAGCTTCTCTCCCAGTCAGCCACAGCCTGATCGAATTGCGCCAGTTAGGTGTTCCCGCTCACCGCTGCGCACCAGGGAGTTACGGACCAGGCAGCCTCCGCGTCTCCCCTCCCAGCCATCGTCAGGCTCTGGGATCTGGGTTGGGACAGCCTACCAGGTCCGCTGGCAGCATTACGCAGGCTAGGCGCTTTTCACCAATCCCGTCCGAGAGGGGAATGTGTGGCTGGAGTCGCCACCGCACCCTGCTCCCGCAGGACTGCTCAGGCCCAGAAAGTCCTCTGCTGGAGTCAAACTGTGGTAGAGTGTCAGTTTCTCTCACTCACCTCACCACAAGTCAGTGCACGCCTCCCTGCCGTTCGCAGATTGCCGTTCTCAGAGCTTCTGTGCGTCTCTCTCCTTGCCGAGCCACTGTAGAGGCAGCCAGCCGCCGCGCGGCAGGAAACCCAAATCGCGGCTTACAATGGCGCGGGGTCCAGCCTCCACACCGAGGCTTTTCTGTTCCTGTTTTAGCACCAGGACTGCATTCCAAGTTGGTTTCTCTCAGCCCAGTTCATTCCTGAGTCAGCAGAGCATAGCTCCACCTGCTTATGTCTCCTTAGTCCACACCATTCCTGGCTTCTGAGCCAAGTCTTTCAGAGAGCCTCCGGTAGTTGCTGTTATCTGTCCGCCATATTCTCCCGGAAGTCTGTGCAGGTTTTTATAAGTGAAAAGACAGAAAAATGATTAAATCTGTTTGTTACACCAGTGGTAAAAGTCTCCTGATGGGACAGTCAAGCATGCACAGGTTCAAGCCAGCAGGCCAGTGTTGGATACCTCCCTCACAGCCAGTAAGCAAGGCGGGAGATCCTCGCAAAGCCACACTGTATGTGACAGCTCTGTTACTTTGTATACCTCAGTATCACAGAGGTGACCTGAAAACTTCATTCACAGACAGGTTTGTGATCTTCTGAAATTTGACCTGTAGCTGCAGTCACTTGGTGATGGGAACAGCACCGCAGTGCCTCTGCAGAGAGCAGCATGGTTACGGAAAGGCCGTGTCTTAGAGACCAGGCATCTTGGCCACGGCCTCTTTAGCTTCATCTGTTACGTATTAGCTTGGTGAAAGCATCAGAAGTGCTGTCATTGCTGAAAAGTCCCAGAAGCAAACTCTTTAGTGCCATTCCCAGCTCAGCACAAACCATAGTCCACGGTGGCACAAGTGTTTAGTGGACGCGCAGCATCAGGGCTCCGTGCAGGTTGCAGCGGTGCTCATACTGAGGCTGCTTAGTGGCTGGCAGATGCCTCAGGACACCTGGCCTGGCTGACAGCTGTGTGCCCTGCAAACTTCGCACAGCCTCCTAGATTGGATGCTTAGGATCTGTGTGATTTCCACAAATGACTATGGCTCCCATGTGTGGGAGAGTCGTTGTAATTTACCACACTAAGAGCAGAAAAGAACATCTCTGCCGAGGCGGATAAAGAACATGAGGAAAATGGACGTGGGATAGCGGGTGTGTCTTTACACTGACTGGGGTGCCTATAGTCCACGCTAGCATAATTTCTGGAAACAATTGCACTTAACGTCTCTTATTTGGGATTTTACTAGCAGTCCTGGCCTATGCAATAATGCAAGAGAAATTGGGAAGGAAAGGTATCTATTTGTGGTAATGGGCCTAAAGCTAAGGGGTCTCCATCTTTGCCTTACCTGACCCACCAGCTGGTACTGCTGGCTCAGTCTCTGGTTGAAACTCCTGGGCTTGTTCGCCCTCCTTGCCTTCTCTTCGAATTTTGCCAGCTGGCGCTTTGAAGTCTCACCAGGAACTGGAGGTTCCATGCCTGGTCCTTGCCGTTTCTCCATCATGCTCTCTGGCCCATGGGTTTAAACACCACCTGTGTGTGTGCTAGAGTCCAGGGTAGCTGCTGGTTTCCTAAAGCTGTCAGAATTATTACAGACTGTGTCGCTGGTGCGTGCCTTAGACTCATTTTAGAGGCCTGGCAGCTCCCAGAGTGCACCCTGCTCCTCCAGGGCCACTGCCCACCCATGTTACCATCCCTGTCCTGTGCGGTGCTGTTGGCTTCCCAGGCGTTCCGAGCAACTGAGTTTCACTTACTACCAATGCCCTGTGGTGACTGCAGATCCCAATCCTGTCACCTGTCTCCACTCGCCCTTGCTTGTGAACTGTCCAGCCAAATCAGCTTGCTGAGGGCCCCAGAGCGTCCCCCACCCTGGCCACCTGGTTCCAGGCCGAGCTTGCAGGGTCAGACTCGCCTGTCGCCACATGTCAACCACTGAGTGAGATGTCACTACCTGTCCTTACACACATTTTCTGTCCCTCCCTGTTCTATCCCCCTGTGGCCTGTGTCACTTCATAGTCTTTCTCAAACTAGGGTACAGGCTTCATGGGGGCAAGAACTTGTTTTTCTATTGCTGTATCCCGCCCGCATCATGGCTTCGGTGTCTCAGGCAGGGCATGGCAGGTGGGTTAGCCACAGTAGGCCCGCTTCGTCTCCTTACAGGTCATTAAACAGCTGATGAAAAAGGAGTTCACTTTAGAGTTCTCACGGGACAGGAAGTCAATGTCTGTGTACTGCACGCCAAACAAGCCAAGCCGGACGTCCATGAGCAAGATGTTCGTGAAGGCAAGTATGGTTTGGCAGCCTGCGCCTGACTCTGCTTAGCCAGGGCTCAGGCCCGGGCACTGCAGGTAACTCTGATCTAAACCTGTGACATTCCCAGGGCGCTCCAGAAGGTGTCATCGACAGGTGTACCCACATTCGAGTTGGGAGTACCAAGGTCCTTATGACCCCTGGAGTCAAACAGAAGATCATGTCCGTCATTCGGGAGTGGGGCAGCGGCAGTGACACCCTGCGGTGCCTGGCCCTGGCCACTCACGACAACCCACTGCGCAGAGAAGAGATGCATCTGGAGGACTCTGCCAACTTCATCAAGTATGAGGTAGCTGAGGGGTCTCCTCCTCCCCAGCACCTGCGTCCGGAGCTGCCGCAAATGGGCAGGGAGGGGCGCTGTGGATTTCCTGCGGGCCGCAGTGCCACCCTTATCCCTGAGGCTGCTGCTTCAAAAAGTTAATTGCATAGAATTCTGTTGCTCTCAGAGTAAAAATGTCAAGACAAGTTTAGTAACTTAGGCAACCTGTTTTGCAGCGTTCATGTTAGGGTGTCAACTTAAGTGTTTGCAAGATGCTAGGTTCGGTCCCCAGCCACAAACAAGGGGAGAAAATGTGTAAATGACCCTTTTCAAAACAGAACTTCCTGTTTTAACATGGTGATTTCCTTGCTCAGACAAACCTGACCTTCGTCGGCTGTGTGGGCATGCTGGACCCTCCCAGGATCGAAGTGGCCTCGTCGGTGAAGCTGTGTCGCCAGGCAGGCATCCGTGTTATCATGATCACAGGGGACAACAAGGGCACCGCCGTGGCCATCTGTCGCCGCATTGGTATTTTTGGCCAGGATGAAGATGTGACATCAAAGGCTTTCACAGGTCGGGAGTTTGATGAACTCAGTCCCTCAGCTCAGAGGGATGCCTGCTTGAATGCCCGCTGCTTTGCCCGAGTCGAGCCCTCCCACAAGTCTAAGATTGTGGAGTTCCTACAGTCCTTTGATGAGATCACGGCCATGGTAAGCATCAGGTGGGAAGGCAGGTCGGGTATTACAGAATTTTTAATCACTATTTTAGTAGTAGCCCCTTAATTTGGATCTTTTTTGTCATGTTCTCAGCTGTTTTCTCTACAATTGTTACCAGTAAATAGCTGGCGTGATGTAAGATCCTAGCATAGTTTAAGACCTAGAGAGCCTTGTGTGTCAGCCACGGGAGCGGTTTGGCGGTGTTACCCAGTGCCTGTCTGGGTCAGAGCATCGCACTCACATGCTCTCACCAGTTCGTGACCGATGGTGCCTTTGTTTTCAGACTGGCGATGGTGTGAATGATGCTCCTGCTCTGAAGAAGGCTGAGATTGGCATTGCCATGGGCTCTGGCACTGCGGTGGCTAAGACCGCCTCTGAGATGGTCCTGGCCGATGACAACTTCTCCACCATCGTGGCTGCTGTGGAGGAAGGGCGGGCCATTTACAACAACATGAAGCAGTTCATCCGCTACCTCATCTCGTCCAACGTGGGGGAGGTGGTCTGGTGGGTGTCAGTCTGATGGGTCGCCTGCATGCTTTAACTGCACCCCAGGCTCAGGCTGAGCAGCTGCCACATCTGAGCCATTTCCTTCTGTGCCTATCTTGGGTTGTAGTGGGGGACAGGGTTCCTTAACGAGGCAGCAGGACTTCGGGCCTCATGAGGGTTATCTACAAAGGGAGGGAGCTTGTCTGTGGCTGTGCTTAAAAGTGCAGAGGCTCCTTGGGCACAGCAATGTGATCAAATTCAAATTGGGTGTAACTGACAGTCTGTGAGGCCTCAGGAGGGGATCGTGTGGGGAGGAGGGCAGGGTGCTGCTCATCCAGCTCTCAGAAGTCACTGGGGATCTTGTCTTTCCTTCAGCATTTTCCTGACAGCAGCCCTTGGGTTTCCTGAGGCTTTAATTCCTGTCCAGCTGCTCTGGGTCAATTTGGTCACAGATGGCCTGCCTGCCACTGCACTGGGGTTCAACCCTCCTGACCTAGACATCATGAATAAACCACCCCGGAACCCGAAGGAACCACTGATCAGCGGGTGGCTCTTTTTCCGTTACCTGGCTATTGGCTGTGAGTAGTTTTTGTGTTGCTAGCTTTTTAAACAGAATGGAACAAAATTCTGTAAATTTATTCCATAAAAACACACTTTTCTCCTCTACTAAGGGAACAAAAAGCAGAGGACACCCTTGCAAGCCTACAAACTGTACCCCAGTTTACCTAAACCCACTTTTGTGAGCAAAGTAAGTCTCTTCTAGCACCCTAATCGTCCTGGGCTTTGGTGAGCAGACTTTGTGCAGAAGGTACAAGGATGGTTTGGCCGAGTCCTGACTTTTAAGAGATCATAGGCAAGATGTAATAGAGGAGAATTATTGTTACCAATTATTGCCAAGGCCAAAATTAAGTTCCTGTTCCCTGATGAACGGATTGCTCACTGCTGACGGCATGCAAGGGCCATGTCCTGTGGGCCTTTGTGGCCCTGTCTTCCTTCTCAGAGGCTGGTGCTCTTCCCCAGCTCCTAGGGCAGGGATTCGATGGCCAGAGAGGCAGCAGCCTTCTCTGGGGGCCCAGAAGCACGCAGCAGGGTGGAGAGGCGGGGTGCTAGGCCTGGATCGTGTGTACTCCCCGAGGCTCTGTGGACATTTGCTTTCGTACTGCAGCTGCCCTCTGCTCAGTCTTGTCTTTGATTCCTCCTGTATGCTAGAAAGTCTCACAGCAGTACACCTGAGCCAGAGCGTGTCTTCCTTGTGACCAGCAGCATTCATGCGCGTGACAATTTCTGGGTTAGCTATATGCGCACTTGTCATTTTTGGTAGATGCTGCCATGCTGGGACAGCCTCACTCTGTCTTTTCCCCGTGGCTGGTTATCACCTCCTGAGTTCCAGGCCCGTGAGGAAGGAGTCCTAGAACCTGCCTTGGGCTCTTTCATGCTGCCAGTGCTGGGCACCAGCAGTTCTGACAGGGCTTCAGTGGACAGCATCCTTACACTGGGCTTCTGAGGGTGCAGCCAAGTCAGTGTCCCTCCTAGTATTCTCCATTTGCCTAAGGTGACGCATGGCCCAGCTCCAGCACATTTCTCTGCACTGAGGACACAGGTTTGCAGCCTGGCAGGTTTCACTGGCCCGCAGAACAGTCGCCTGAGTGAGGGCAGTAGAGGGGTGACAGACCCTGGAGGAAAGGAGGGAAGGCCTCTTGGATCTTTGTGCACAAATGCCCCATCTGCCTGGAATGTTTCCTCTTGCTGGGATAAAATACATGATCCCCGAAACCGGAAGAAAGAGGGCTTGACTCTGGATCATGATTTCAGCCATTACAGTCCATTTCAGACCAAGGCAGAGGTCATAGTAGAGAGGCATGGCCTCGTGGGGGACAGAAGCAGAGTGGGCAGGGCAGAGAACCAGACACCCCCATGTTTAAACCAGCTGAAGGCCCACTGCTGAACACGAGGCTCCAGACCTTTTAGCTCTGAACCCCAAACCCTGAGGCCTGGCCGCTTTGACTCTGGGCATGAGGAGTTGTAGGCACAGCATAGCTCCAGTGTCCTATACTCCCTGTGCTGTGGAGCGAGTGCCTTTGTCCTGGGGATTGGGCCATGTGGCGTCACACGGTGTGGCCACAGACCCAGATGTATCAGCTGTGTTGTGTGTATTCCAGGTTATGTTGGTGCCGCTACTGTGGGTGCTGCTGCATGGTGGTTCATCGCTGCCGACGGGGGGCCCAGAGTGTCCTTCTACCAGCTGGTATTTGCCCTCTCCCGTTCTGTGGGTGTGAGGGGTGGCAGGCCTGGGATCGCTGTGTGAGCACCGTCTGCTAAGTCATCTTAGCATTCAGACAACAGGAGCTGCACCTGAGGTCCTCAGGGGCCGGGCTTCTCTGGGACCTGGGGTGGACCCAGTGGCCATTCTGCACTGCCTGGGACTGAGGCCTGGGCTCAGTGTGCACTGGTGCCAGGACTTGAGACCTGGCTTATTGGTGCAGGAGTGCAGGTTTAATCCCAGCCTGGGCAGCTTAGTGACTTGGCGACCCTGTCGCAAAGCAAAAAGATGAGGGTCTAGCTCCATAGGAAGGCCCTGGGGTTCCCTGCTATCACCAGAATTGAAAAGCCAGGGCAGGGGACAACTCAGCCAATTGGGAATAGCCACGCACCTTTGTTGCAGAGTCATTTCTTACAATGTAAAGAGGACAATCCGGACTTTGAAGGAGTGGATTGTGCGGTCTTCGAGTCCCCATACCCAATGACGATGGCACTCTCTGTCCTAGTGACCATAGAGATGTGTAACGCCCTCAACAGGTGAGTCTGGTGGGAGGCAGTGCTCTGGCTACCAGGGTGGTGGGGGCAATGCCCTCAAGCCCTTTCCTCCCACAGAGGACAGGACACTGAGCAGCTCTGGGTTTAAAGCCTAGGCTGTCGCCACCTGCAGGAAGTAGGGGGAGGTGCTCAGCCTTGTGTTTAGATGCTGTCTTCTGGCAGCAGCAGAGGCCGGGATAGGGCTAGTGCCTGTGTGTGCCAGCCCTGGGTGCTCTCTACCCGGCAGCACTGGGACACATGGGATCTTGCGATTAGGCCGGTGACAAAAGCAGAGGTTTCTGCCTGAGAGTCCAGGGCAGTCAGGCAGCTCTGAGCCTGCTGAGGGGCCGTGCCTGGTCTGCCCTCCACCTGGGCGGCCCTGCCAGAGCCAGGTGCCAGTGCGGCCTCTGCCCTTTTGCGGAGCTCCCTCCCTCCCCACCAGCCTGTCTGAGAACCAGTCCTTGTTGAGGATGCCTCCTTGGGAGAACATCTGGCTCGTGGGATCCATCTGCCTGTCCATGTCCCTCCACTTTCTGATCCTCTACGTGGAGCCCTTGCCAGTGAGTGGAGCCGGGGGGGGGGGCCAGGGGGCCCGGGGGCCCAGGGCCAAGGGCCAAGGGGTGGGCGCCCTCCTGACGCGGCCGCGCTGCCTCAGCTCATCTTCCAGATCACACCGCTGAACCTGACCCAGTGGCTGATGGTGCTGAAGATCTCCCTGCCTGTGATTCTCATGGATGAGACGCTCAAGTTTGTGGCCCGCAACTACCTAGAGCCTGGTAAAGAGTGTGTGCAGCCTCCCACCAAATCCTGCTCGCTCTCGGCATGCACCGACGGGATCTCCTGGCCGTTCGTGCTGCTCATGGTGCCCCTGGTGGTCTGGGTCTATAGCACAGACACTAACTTTAGCGATATGTTCTGGTCTTGACTGACAGCTCTCCATGCAGAAGATGTCTAACTTAATTTTTTATTGTTTAAAGCAACTGTCTATTTCTGCTGAATTTTCACATGAACATACTGGCTGGTGAAGGAGGTTTCATACTCTAGATTTTTGTTTTGCTTTTTCTGACTCCAGTGGGGCTCAAGATTTTCCTTTTTTATACACATAATTAAAGTGTCCATTGACATGTACAGAGAACTAACACTATTTTATGCAAATATTTTTTTGTAGATGAAAAAGCATGTACAGTGTTCTGTTTAATACTCATCCTTGTATAAAAATAGTTGAGCCAGCAGACATTGTCAGCAAGTTAATTGGCAGCAGATTTTAGGAAATGAATGTGTGTGGTTTTTTTTAAAAAACTAAATAAGCATGTATTGTCTTTGCATGATTACCTGGATTTAATTTGATATCACAGTCTAATTTTTATTCATAAGCCAATTTTTCTGCACTGAGCAGAGTCCGCTACCTCAGTCAGTATTCTTTGGTTTGCCACCCCCCTCAGCCCTCACCGTGCCCTCCCCCGCCGGCCCTCCCGAGGTATGCCCGGCTCCTGTGCAGAAAACCTGGCTCCACGTTCAGTCAGCTGGGGTCGAGTCCCGCCAGAGTTTTTAAGGTTATTTATTTAAACGTCTAATGTACTTTATTGTAACAGACATTGTTTCGCCAACATCGCCTACTTCAACGGCACTTCACAATCTAGTTTTAAAAGAAAAATAAAACATTTTAAATGGACAGAGAAAAATAACTGTCTTGTTCTTAAGTGGCCTATCCTGAGCTGTCCCTAGCCAGTCCCCTCCCTCCCGAGCTTAGTTCAGGGGGCCTGCTCTGCTGCGCAGGGAGTCCGGAGTCTGGCTTCACTGTGGGCACGAATGTCACCGGGGTTTTCTGCAGGTTTCTGCTGGCTCGGTGTAGGACCGTGAGGGGGAGTGCGTGTGCATCTGTGCGTGTTTTGTAAAATCTGTAAATAACACATGACCAAATGAACATACTGTATAGAACTATTTTTATTTGATGTGACACTAACCACCACCGTGGTCATCTGAGAAGCGTTTGCGCATGTCAAGCTCAGTCTTCGGCAGCGTGTGCGTCCTTAACAGCCCTAACTGTGGTGTTTTCCTCCAATGCTTCCATCGTCATCAACTAACGTGAGTATCTCCGCCTCCAGTGAGGCGGGCCTCCCGTTTGCTGGGCGGCCCCTGCCCGGGCAGGGGTAGGAGGTGTCAGCCCTGGGACAACACAGGAGCCTCTGTGTAGCCGGCACCCGTATCCTGGTACCTCCGTGTAGCCCGGCGCGCTGGGACTGGGCCAGGCCGGGCTTGACCTCGCTAGCAGCAAGGAGTCGTAGCAACCTCAGATAGCGCTGGTCCCTCTTCAGTGGGCCACTTGCTTTATCTTTCTGGGTCACGTCCTTTGTGGCTAAAACTTGTCCTGTGTCCCCTCCGGGTACAGAGTACTACTAGTCCTCAAGGCCCGGCTGCCCCCGGGAAGGTCCTCAGGCTCTGTGGGCTGGGGTGGCTCGGTGTGGTGCACACGTTGGGCCTGGGGAGGAGGTTCAGAGGCCCCTGGGGTTCAGAAGCGCGCTGTGGGGGCAGCTGGCAGCTAGCAGCTAGCGAGGCGTCTGGGCTCTGCAGGGCACCGTGGCTGTCAGAGGGCAGATCCCGGGGTAAGGAAGTGAGGCACGTGAGGCAGAGGCAAGCAGTGCATCCGAGTAGAGGACCAAAACAGGGTATCTGGCCATGCTGGGGGGCAGGGGCGCCCCACAGTGGAAGCCAGGCTCAGCTTGTGGCGTTCCCTGACTCGGTGCCCTCAGCCAGCGGCCTTTACAGAAGGCCAAGGGCAGGGCCATGTCAGGAGCCAGGCACTGGCATGGAGCTGCAGGCCAGCACCACGGAGGTGCTTGCCTCAGGGTGGGGTGCCTCCCCCAGTGTGGGAGCCTCTCTTCCCCCATTACCCGGCCTGGAGCCGGGCTGCTGTGTGGAGCCTGCCCTGTGCCCAGATAGCAGCTGTGCTGCGAGGCCTGGAGGGAGCTAGGAGCCATGTGCAACCACCAGCTCAGGGCCCAGGACAGGGCAGCCTGCAAGCGTTGGCTCAGTGTCCACCCAGACCATGCCACCACCCCTGCCACAGCCATCACTGTTGCTGCAGTGCCACAAGCTGGGCCAGGTTGCCCTCCGCCTGGTCTTAGCACCAGGTTCTGGCAGAATGGCCACTCCCTGCAGTTAAGCAGGCAGTGGTGTGGCAGACGGGGCCAGCACTTCCCGGGGTGCTGTGCCCCGATGCTCACTCCTACGCCACTGCTCCTGCACAGCCTGGCCCCCCACCCCAGCTGTCACAGCTCAGCACCAGGTCAGATCAGGGCAGCTTTGCCACATATGGGGACAGCATGAGGGCACCATCACTGAGCCACTGCTTCTAGATGCAGCCTGTGTGGACGGCACCTTGGGATGGTCGAGCCGAAATGCTGCTCTTGGCATCTCTGAGATTGAGCTGTGTACCCCTCTCCTGTCGTCCTCGGTCTATTTTAGGTAGTTATTCTGACCTTCCGTCGTGGTTCACAAAGCTGATTCCCTCTCTCTTTCCTTTGCAGCCATACTGGAGTAACGGCTTCCTAGACTGTTGTGCAGAAATGTAAGGGTGTTCCGTGCGTCGGTTGCATGCATGTGCGTTTGTAGCAGTACACCTAGCCCTCTGCATGACTGACGTTGGGGAAAAAGAAAAGGAGAAAAAGCTCCCAACTCATTGTGTGTAATGTGGAGGAAACGTGTATCACCAGTGATTTTAGCTTTTAAATCAGAATGATGTTCACAAATGTACAACTTAATGAACTCCGAAAGCCTCTCCAGAGAAGTTTGGTTTCTTTGCTGAAGACTGAGCGTCTGAAACCTTCTCCGCAAGCCCCGAAGGTGCCAGCCGAGTCTCCACGTTCCTCTGCCGTGTCCCGCTCCTCGGTGTACAGTACCGAGCTTGTGCATGCCTTCCTGTGAGTAGCTGGATTCCTCAGCGGTGACTGTGAGGCCTGCTACTTTTTAATTGGCCCTGTACAGTTTGCTTATTTATAAATTCCTTAAAAACACTACCGGTGTTGAGCGGTTAGAGTGTAGGCCTTCCGTTCATAACCAGCTGTGTTGGAGTGTGCATAGACCGCTATTTCACCCTGTAGTAAAGTAACTTATTTAATGAAATCTGAGGCAGTAGGCAGATGTTGGTGCAATACAAGTATTGTGATGCATTTCCCCTAATCAGATGCTAAGCGTCAGGTATCACAGCGCATGTTTGGCTAGACTGTAAATAAAGGTCGAGTTTTCCTTCTGTGCTGGTAATGACAGCACTGCACAGACGTGGTTTCCAGTAAATAAATCTATTCTATGATACCAGCTCCGTGTGGCGTCCCCTGTCCTGGGGCGGGGGCTCTCAGGATGGTGGTAGGGGCAGCGAGCTGCTCTTGCTGTGGCCCAGGCGATCCTCAGCAGTGGCAGTGGCTCTTCAGGGCACTTGTGGGTACGAGAAAGCACTGATGGGAACAGCAGAGGCTCTGACACTTGAAATGCAGGCCGTGAGGGGAAGCGTGGCTGCACAGCCTGTTGCTGGGGCCTGGGAAAGGGCTTGCTTCCTTGCTGGGTGTTCTGTTTTGTTTTGGTACGGGAATTGAACTTGACCTTGTGCTTGCCAAGCGGGAGCTCTTGCTGCTGAGCTATATCTCTGGCCCAACGAGGCAGATGCTTGCCCAGGTTCCCTAAGGTGGTTTTTTGGTTACTTAGGATGTGCCAGGCATGGCAGTGTGCACCTAGTAATCCAGCCCCTCGGGAGACTGAGGCGAGGGGATGGCAAGCTCGAGGCCACCCTGGGTAACTTAGTGACACCCCTGTCTCCAAAGAGCTGAGAACGTAGCATCAGGAACAGGCTCACTCTGACAGCGAGGAGGGAACAGAAAAACTGACAGGGATGCACGCCAAGCTGCTTGGTGAAGCTTCAAGCTGTAGTAATGGCAAGGGCCTGGGAAGGGGACATTTCAGCTATTAGGTAAAAGGTTACTACGTCAGTAGGCAGCTGGGAGGAAATAGTCCTGTGTCCCTTTGACCCAACAAAATGCACATGGAACCATGTATTTTGAAAACTATAATCCCAGCACTCGGGAGGCTGAGGCAGGAGGCCAAGTTGAAGACCAGCCTGGACTACAAAGTGAGCTCGAGGCCAGCCTGGGCTTTGCATAGCAAGACCCTGCCTCAAAAAGAAAAAAGCCCCTAAACGAGTTGACTAACCACCAGGTTGGTGATCTAGCTCAGCAGCACGGCACCGGCCTGGAAGCACAAGGGCCTGGCTGTGTGCAGCTGCCCAGAGGGTGTCACCGGCTGGTGGCTGGTGTTCGCGTGACAGAGGAGCGCTGGCAGACACGAGAACATTCAGGTCCCGGCCACATCCCCATGTACACAGCAGGCGGCAGCTGCAGGCATGACAGGCAGGGTTGGCGCTGAGGTGCAGGGGTCAAGGCAGCCCCGAGGGAGGACATGGAGGCCAAGGGTCCTGGGAGGGATGCCGACTGTCAGTGCAGTTGTGAATGTCACTCCTGTGGAAGTCATTTCCATCGTATACAGTTGGCAAAGGTCACAAAGCCAGCCTCAATCTCCTAGTGTCAGGAAGCGGCTTGCACTGGAGGGGCAGAGAGGACCGGCTGGCCTCCAGTCGCCTTCCAGGAAACGCACACCCACCACTAGCAAGAGCTTGGGGCCGCCCAGAGTCATGGCAATGGGTGAAGAGGAAGCGTTGAGCCATGGGACATCGCCATGCCTGAGAGGATGATGACAAGAGCTGCGAGCTCCGTGAGCAGCAGTGTCCAGGACGTGCTGTCCACCCAGGCGATGCCTAAGTGCAGAGCAGTTGGTGTAAAGTGCTTCTCTTTGGAGCTCACTACTAAGTTCAGGCTGACCTCGTGGTGATTCTCCTGCCTCAGCCTCCTGAGTGCTTGGATTACAGGTGTGCATCACCATACCAGCTTCTAGCATTCATTTTAAAACTAGGGAGAAGTTTACAGTGTCCAGTACTGGTGGTCACTGAGGAAAGGCTGGGACCCAGGTGGGAGGCTCCCAGACTCATGCTGCTGACACCACCCCGGGTGAGGCTCTAGGAACCAGTGGACAGAGTCACATCCTGAGCTGACTTCGATGATAGACCAGGCAAATGGGAGGGGTGTGGCCCAGGTGAGCGAGCCATGGGTGCTGCCCACAAGAGGGGTGCCATCGTCCCTCAGGCAGCACAGTGACTTCTTCCAAAAGGGGATAACACTGTAGCCACAGACACTGCCTCAGCCCAGCAGACAGTGAGGGTGATGCCACCGTGGAGCGGTGCTCGCTCCTCCCAACTGTGCCACCGCGTCTAGTCGCAGCGTCTGCCGGATCCCAAGGGACCAGCTGTGGCCCCAGGGTGACAGCACGGGCCTGTGATGCTAGCACACAGGCAGCTGAGGCAGGAGGGTAATATACATGGGTCTTGCCTGGACTACAGAGCAGGAAGGAGCATGGGAAGGGAGGACAGCTCCTTCCAAGGATGGAGGGACACCAGCCTCTCCCAAGGACAGCAGGAGCCAGATGCGAGCGATGGTTCCCTGTGCTGGGCACAGCCTGGGCACCGCACAGCTGGGAAGACTCAGGTGAAAAAAGGCGCTGCGTTCCGAGCAGACCCACCTAAGCGACGTGCCTGGGGTGGCCAGGAGCGGTTACACAGGAGGACAGGAGAGACTCAGTGACCACTGGGTATGGACACAACAAGCTCACTGCTGTCCCCACGGGAGAAACCAAAGACTCAGGCCGCATATGACCAAAGCAGTGAGGGAGATGGGCACAGTGGGGAGGCCCCAGCCAGGCATTCCCAGCACTCGGGAGGCTAAGGCAGGACGGTCACCTGGAATGCGAGGCCAGCCTGAATTACAGGGCAAGACTCAAAAACAAACGGAAAGAGCCCTGTGAGCACATCCATCCCCGGCTGCCTGCGCTCACGTGAGGCCGCAGCGGGAAGGAAACAAGGCCAGCGCTTGGCTAAAGCCAGCTCACTGTTTTGTCAAATTCAGCAGAAATTATAAAGTGTGTTGCGTAGGTTTGGAAACTACACAGAAATCCCTCCACTGATGACTTTAAATATACAGTGAGTAACATCTGCCTTTCGTTCCTATTTATAACCCTCACCCTGCTGGGAAGAACCAGCTCTCACGGGAAACAGGGAACTCACAAACTGCAAATACCACAAACAGATGCAATTCAGGTTATTTCTGAAAAAATACACAGCAAATGGACTGGGGGTGCAGCTCAGTGGTACAGGCTCGCTTAGTTCGACCCCTAGCACTGCAGAAACAAAAGCGGTCAGCAGATACGGCTGCTTCCAGAGGGGGAGGAGGAGAGAAGGCAGGCAGGATGCGGAGAGCTCTCATTGGCTCCAACCTCACTCCGCGTTCAGAGTTTTTATAGCTGTGACTCTTCAGGCCATCGGGACTGGTGGCACAGCTGTGGTAAAAGTTCACGCAGCACTGCGAGGTCCTGAGTTCAGTGTCCTGCGCACGCACACAAAAGCCCAAGCCCCAGAATCATCAGATTGCTAAAAATGAAACCTCAAGAACAACAAAAAAAGCCATTAATAAAAAAATGAGTAAGTGATAGCAGTATTACTATGAACCAATTTTTAAAGTGTTGAGCAGGGGCTGGTGGTTACAGCTTATAGCTGAGGCAAGGAGGACTGCCTGCGTTTGAGCCCAGCCTGGGCTACAGAAAAACTAAATATATAAGTGCATACACACACAATTCCACATAGTGGCCACCCCTGGCAGGGGCAAAGCGACAGATGGAGGGTTGAGATGGGACAGGCTCAGGTCATGCACACGGGGCTTGCAGGGGGACCTTGCACTTGCCGGGCGGGGCCTGCGCTGTGGAGCTGCATTCCTGCCGGTTTCACTGCTGCCTGCGTGCTGGTTCTTCCGAACACGGCACACATCCTGTCACATCTCTGCATTGCTGTATCTCAAACGACTTTTCTCGTGTGTGACCTGGGGACTGAGCCCAGGCCTCACAAATGCTAATCATTGGCCCTGCCAAGAGCTACGCCCCAGCCCCACATCTTACAACTGAATGAAGACATTCCAGGAAGGGTGCCATGTGCTGTCCTCACGCACGGCCTCAGCCTCCCTCGGTCCACAGCACTTGTCCTCCAGATGTTGGCATGCACTGGCCATTTTCCAGGAAGAGCTACATCTGGGGGCTGTACAATCGGTCACTGGCCCCGCCCATCACTTGTCATCAAGGCCCAGCGAGAGGTGGTGGCAGGGGCCACAAGGACAGCACAGAGCCAGCGTGGCCTGCAGGCACTGTGCGTTGCTCATGTCACTGCCTTGGGACGGAGCTGTCAGGACACTGCTGCCGAGTGTGCTCAAGATGCTGAGCCTCCTACTGGTGGTCCCACTCCGAGGCATGGGCACCAAAAGGATCCTCGGACATCCAGATCCATGTGGGCAAGGGTGGCAGGGCAGGGAGCCCACCACAATGGTCCCATGGTGTCCTTTGCCCGGGCCTCTGGGTGTTGATGGCCTTGCTGCACTCTGCCCACGCCTGATGACAGGCACAGGGGACCCAAGGCAGAGCGGCAAAGGGCCTCCTAGCCAGTATATGCATGGCAAGGGACATCTGGGAGGGACACTGGGGAGTGCAGGGGACCCAAGACTGCAGCCCACAGAGCACCGAGCACAGTGTTCTCGTCACCTCCAGGATAGCCCCTGCTGGTGCTGGCCTCAGAGAGGCCCGACTTCTGCAATCCCCGCTGGGAATTCACCCACAGAAGGCAACTGCCCAAGGAGGCCCGCACAGGGGGCTAAAGGGGCTGTGAGCTCTGTACCAGTGACACCATTGCTGGCCACATGTCCACAGCCTTTGAACCCAGGAGGCTGAGGGCCACAGGATGGGGGTCAGGGGTCCCTTTTCTCTGAGTGGAAGGGTGGATGGAGGTCAAAGTCACCTCCAGGGAGTGAGGCCCTGGACACAACCAAAGTGCCAACAGGTCCAGCCAAGGCTCAGCTTGGTCCTCTATGCTCGGCCCTCGAGGGCTGTGAGCTGAGAGTGACCACTAGGCAGGCTGAACAGTTAAGACCTCACAGTCATCGGCAATCACACGTCATCCTAGACACTGGGGAGGCTGAGGCAGGAAGATCACTAATTCTACGCCAGCAAGTTCAAGGCCAGCCTAACCTATGTAGCAAGACCCTGTCTCAAACTCCCTTCAAAATCAAAAAACAAAGCATAAAGCAGTGGGGTGAGGACTGGAGGGTAGCTTGAGTGTCCCTGAATTCAATCACTAGTAGAGAAAAAAAGAGAAGAAAGGAAAAATAAATAGCAATTAAAACAAATCACAGGCCTAGTATAGCAGTGCAGGCTGAGGCAGGAGGATCACTGCAAGTTTGAGACCTGCCTGGGCTACAAAGTGAGCTCAAGGCCAGCCCGAACTGCAGAGACCCTGTGTCAAAAGATAATATAAAAAAAAAATCACAAGTTCCTGGGGAGAGCAGGTCCCTACTGAGCCAGGGCAGGCCAGAAGGCTGAAGGTGAGGCCCACTAGGGCTGGCTGTTACCCCAAAACAGGGAAGAAATAAAAGCCTTGACGGCCTGTGCTAGCCAGAGTACAGGAACTCAGAGCTCCCTGAACCCGCTGCAGACTAATCACATAGTACCTGTGAGGCCCTCTGAGCACATGAGCAGGAAGGTCACGTCAAGAAGCAGGCTCTGGGTGTGGGTGGACAGATGCCGGACACTGTGCTGGAGGAAAGGTGCCGCCCAAGCAGCCACATCCGCTGGAGACAGCACAAGGACCCGACATGGCTTCACCCACAGAACGGGACCAGCAGCACTGCCACAATGCAGAAACAAGGGCCCGTGTGACGGTGGAGTGGGACCTGAGGGACCACCTCCCAAGTGATTGTCACAAAGTCATTATGAAAGCACAGACTTGTTTTTTACAAAGAACCAGAACCTCACCTTATGTGGTAGATCAAGAGCCAGTAGATCAGGAAGCAGTTATATTTTTAATTTTATACCACGCTGTTTGGATGTTTGAGATTTTTGTTTTGTTTTTGAGATAGGGTCTCATGATGACGTTCACACTGGCTTTGAAATCTCTGCGTAGCTCAGACTGGCCTTCAACTTGTAGTGACCCTCCTGCCTCAGCCTCCCGAGTGCTTGGGATCACAGGTGCGCACCACCATGCCTAAATTGTTTGCTTTTAGTCATATGTATTTTTACATTACAAACCATGCTGTACTTCACATAAATTAAGATGCGGCAATGAGTTAATTAATGTGGTAAACTAATGGCCTGATTACAGGCAATTTCTTTACTCTTTTTGTGTTAAAATGTAAGATTTGAGGGCTGGGGATTTAGCTCAGTGGCATAAGCACCTGCCTTGCAAGCAGGCAGTCGTGAGTTCGATTCCCGGTACCCATAAAAAGGAAAAAGACCACAAAAATAAAAAATAAAAAAAAGTATATATAAGATTTGAGCCAGGGATGGTGGTGCACACCTGTAATCCCAGCATTCTGGAGGCTGAGGCAGGAGGACTGCCATCAGTTCATGGCTGGCCTGGACTTAATAAGTGAGTTCAAGACCAGCTCGCACTAGACAGCAAGACCTTGTCTTAAAAAAAAAAAAAAGAGATTTGACATTTGAACTGTTTTAAGAGTGTAGCTCAGTGGCGGTAAGCACATCCACATTGTACAAACCCTCAGCACCCTCCGTCCCCAGACCTGTCTTCCCTGGCTGATCTCTGGACCAGCTGGCCTCACGCCCCTCCCCTGGCATCATCCAGTCTACTTCCTGCCTCTGATTTTGACAGCTCAGTACCTTGGATACCTTTGAGTGGCTTCTACTCACCATGAGGTCCTCAAGGTCTCTCGGGTTGCAGTGTCTTTTAAATTTCCTCCCTTTTCCAGGTTAAATACAGACACCCCTTGTTTAACGACTAGGCCCATCCTGGGACTAGGCTGGCAGATGGACGGAGGGCTAAGTGAGGAACTGGACAGGGCGTGTACACTGCAGTACTCAGAACAAAGAAACGGTCGAAGGAAACCCCAGCCGAAGGCCTTGCCTTTGTTTGCAGAGCTGACACACAGCAGTGTACTGCACAGCACAATCAACAGAATCCACCGAACATGGTGCTCTCCAAGAGATACCGCGGCTCTGGAAAGTAGAGGCGCACAACTGTGCACAAAGAAGGATGGAGCCGGGTGTGGTGATGCATGCTGTAATCACAGCACTTCGGGAGGCTGAAGCAGGACGACCACTGTGAGGTCCAGATCAGCCTGGGATACAGTGAGCTCAAGAAGGCTGGGGATTTAGCTCACAGGCATAAAGCACCTGGGTGGCAAGCACGAAGTCCTGAGTTTGAACCCTGCCCAGCAACCCCCAACAGAAAAGAAAAAAGCCAGAGTGAACTCAAGGCCAGCCTGAACTGCGTAAACTGTGTAGCAGACCCTGTCTCAAAAAACAAAAACAAATGACGTGTGGGCAGGAAGCCTGCACAGCTAAGCTACGGGCAGATAAGGCAGTGCCTGCCCTCTGGCTGTGAGCCCCGCCTGGTGCACCCTGGGCGCTCCTATCCTGGACCTTTCTTGCTCTAGGGCTTCTCCCCAGGACAGGGCCTGCTGGTCCCGATGGCAGACCGTGCCATCATGGCCAACCATTCTGCACTCCCACCAGTGATGCACGCATGTCCTTGTTTTTAAATTGTTTTAATGGCTAAGGAAACCAACTTGTGAGGGCCTGGCTTACTCCTGGTGTCATTGTGCTATGTAGTTGTGCAATAAGTGACATGCTTATGCTACCACCTTCTGGGCCATTGGGGCAAAGGCCGGGCTGGTGCCCTATCTGAGGGCCCATGAGCCCAGGCAGGTCTGCAGAGCTGGCCCCTTGAACCGAAGGAAATGCGTGGCTGAGGCCCACCTGCTGCCCTGGCCAGAGCCGCCTCTGCAGGCTGGAAGACCCGGAAGGTGCCCACCTCTGCAGCAGGGCCTCTGTGTGTGCTGTCTGGCCTCACTGGCTGTCAGCAGTGGGTAATGCAGTCCTGGGTCAGCAAGCCTGGGCAGAAGCCCAAGGCTGGTCACAGGGAGAGCAGGGTACCTGAGCCTGCGCCAGGTGAGTTCGGGCAGGCAGCAGCCAGGAGCCACAGGGGAGGCCACCTGAGCTCTGAGGAGGGCCACCAGGCATCCCCGCAGAGGATGGCCACTAGGGCGCGAAGTCAGGCCTGAAGCTCCTGGGACTTTTGAGCAGCCACCCCGCCCCTCCCCTGCAGACTGGGAAGTCCACTGGGAGGCAACTGCAGATGCAGACCGTGGGCACCTGGGTCCTCCCTGGGCTGAAGTGAGGGTTTGGAGCTGGGCCCCACAGTGCTGAGAATGCCCTCGAGCTTAACGACTACAGAGCTGGGCAGAAGCTGGCCTCCTTGAGGAAGAACCTAGCAGCAGGAACATGGCCTTCCCGAATCTCTCAGGAAAGGCCTGCAGGTCCACAACACCGGGCAGGAAACACCCCAACTCTGCTGGGACCCAGGGAGAACGCCAGACCTGACTCAGGGAGAGAAAGGCTGGCCCTGCCTGGCAGGTGGCCCTCTGCTGAGCCAGGTGGGAGATGACAGAGGACACTGGACCCCAGGGGCCAGCCGCCTACACCCCAGCAGTGCTCAGGAAAGAGCCACACAGTCCCCTGTAGACCATGGAGCCACAGGTACAAGGGTCCTAGGAAGTCCAGCCAAGCTGTGGGACACAGAGGACACAGACCCAAGGTCCCCGGCAGAGCGGAGGGACAGCAGAGGACAGGGATGATCGGAGTTCATCCTGACCCGCAAGGCAGCAATTCCCTTTCCAGAACCAGGAAGGAATTGAGGGAGCCCATGAAGGGGAGCCAGGACGCTTCCCGCACCCAGACTGCCTGCAGTCACTGAAGCCCTGTGGTCCTAAGCTACTGCCCATGGGGTGTCCGCACATTTTAGCCACTGTTTCCCCTTAACACTGAATTCACACCAAGGCACCCCTGACCAGTTCTGTTTAATGGAAACTTCCTTCCCAACATCTGTAGACTAGGAAGGTGCCTTATCTTAAGATGCCAGGGCCAAGGCTAGGCTGGTGACCATCTCCCTCCTGGCTCCCACATTTGGCACAGGGTCAAGCACACGCTCCAGGATGCCCAGGACCGGTCCTGAGCCATGCTGCTGGGACTGGAGTGTGGGGACCGGAGCACTGGGATGTCACTGCCCAAACAAAACATGACAAATGCTAAGATGCGCAAGGACTCCAAGGTTCTCCACACCCAGGGGCAGAAAGGGAATCCAGAGCACATGATCCTGGGGCTGGAACTCTACATTCAAGACGATAGAAAATGTATTTCTAAAAGCCCCATCACCACCACCACATCGTGACTACACAAACCAAGTTTATTAGTTAACCGCCCCGTGCACCTGGGTTGCACTCGTCACACCTGTGTCTCGGCTGGCCCAAATGCAGGCTAGGTGCCAGCGTGGCGAAGGGGAAGCTCCGTTGGCTTAAGGCATTGGTACCAGTACAGGAGGAGGCCAATCACAAGGGAACAGCCCAAAAAGACGACTTTCGGGAGCAGCAAAGCCTGCGTCCCCGAGAGGTGACCTCTTGCTCCTGGAGGGTGGGCCGTTCCTTCAAACCCATCTAAACCACAGACAACCACACTCCAGTCCTCGAGCTGTTGGATGTGGCCCTTAGCACATCAAAGTTCCTCGGCCTGCCGGCCCTGGCAAGTCTGCCACTGAGTCTCTCAGTCCTCACTGGGAGGCAAAATCGGGCCGGCTCGCTGGGTGGCAGGGCACCTGCTACAAGCACATATGGAGTGTGTCACTGTCCTCGGGCGCCTGGGTCCCAGAAGCGCCCTCACTGCATGCCAAACCACTGCTCCTGGTCGGCCCACTGGGCCGCCTCACTGTCACTTCCTTCCAGGTCCCCTTCTTCCCCACTCCCTTCCATGTCGTCCACATCCTCCTCCTGGGTGGCATCCGTGGGACTCTCCTCCTTCTCCATCTTCTGCATCCCCTCGAGAGACTTCTGGTCATTGGGGTCCAAACTAGAGGACAACAAAACAGAGGAGAGGCTTGAATCTCTGCTTGGCTTCCTGCTGGCAGATTCGGTGTCCTCGCTGGCCTGGCAGTGAAACGAGTGCGGTCACCAAGAAACTGCCAAATCCTGGGACCATTCCAGCCGCAAGGCTGGACTGAGGCTGTCCATGCCAGAAATGAAAAAACACATTTTCCCCCATTTTTTGAGTTCTCCATATGAGTTTTTCTCCACAAATTTCTTAAACCCTTCCACACCGCTTGTCCCTATCATTTCACTCCAGGTCACCAGCTGTCATAAAAAGAAAGTGGCAAACAATCGCTTTAAGAAAAATTCAAATGCAATTTCTTACAAGTGGAATTTTAAGTTATGGCATTACAAAGAAAGAAGTTATTCTACTGAGGGTAAACTGTTCATGCTCCTAGGACACAAAGAACGTGCCAGCAGTAGCTCTCATGCCTAGAAGCAGGCAGCCCACTGCCTGCGGAACCCACTTGGAAGCTCCAAGGTCAGGACCAGGGCCCAGCTGCCCCCCCCCACCCAGAGTGAGCCACACACCCTGCAAGGTTCAGCGGCTCCGAACACACATTTATTTGGCTTCTAAGCGATTTCGCCTCTTGACTTCAGGACCAACCCAGCAAGTGTCTGATCCTCAGCAAAGCCCACCTCTATTAAAGCCTGCAATTGCACTTTTCCAGTTGTTTCTGGACTTCCAAAAAGCAGCTAAAACCCAAGCTGGGTTCCTGCTCTTATTTCCATGGATGTAGGCTAGCCTGTCATATCTCTCCTTAGAAACGTCCCTGCTCTCATCTGCACCCAAAGCTCCTGCACTCCAGACTGTCCCGAGCCTTCTACAGGTTGCTGCAGTCAGGCACCGTCTGTGACCAAGAGCTTTGGGAATCCCAGCACCCCAGCGATCAGAGATGCCAGGCCCACAACGCTGCTCCACTGTCTGCTTAGTGGATGGTGAACGTGACTGGACCCAACTACACACAGCCCCTTGCCATGGCTGCAGACACACAGACAGCCCTCGGAGAAATCACTGCTATATTCACCAGTACAAACACCACTATTTATTTCATATTTACTACATACTAGGTGCAGTGTCACAAGCTTTACATGGAGTAATCATTTAATCCTCACTCACTGAGTCCCCACGAAGTGGTCAGAGACAAGGAAATCTGTCAGTAACGTGGCCAAGATGACAGTGTAGGTAGCATTCAGAACCACAGCTTGAGTTCTTAACTGCTACAATAGGTGGAAAAATGGGGAGGCACTTACAGTGCTCTGATTTGAAACAGAACAGAAAGTACACACTCAATACAACCCTGTAAAAATACATGCATGTGGGCGAGGGCAGCAAGATCCGTGCCCCGAGCATGGATGTTATAAACACGCGGTTCCAAGTGAGACAGTTCTCTCTTTACTCTGAGAAAAGAACTGTAGAGATCATGAATTCACAAATAATTTGTCTGCCATGACTGTTACCGCCTTCAGCAGCGCGGGGCAGAGTGTGCGTGACCGTCGCTCCACCCTCCTCGTGACCCCTGCGGCACACGGTGCCTACCTCAGTGCTATGCTGTACTGGTCCATCGCCTCCTGATACTCATTGACAGCCACAAGGAAATCTCCCAGGATGCGGTGCAGGACACAGTCACTCTGGTTAGCCAATGCGTTCCTCAGCAAAGCAATGCCATCTTCGTATTTCTGTTCTCTGCCTGAAAAGAGAAAGACCCTCAGTGCCCTAATTCAACAGCACTTTGAAAATACACTCCCAGTCAGCTCGTACCACCAGCACACCCTGACAACTTCTTAGTGGACACCTTCAAGGGAAGGACGCTGTGACACAGCAAGAGCAAGTGCGGCTGAGCTCTTACTTTGTCAGGGAATCCACAGATTAAGATCGAATTTTCTTAACACGCTCACCATGGGGCTGTAACTGCCTCACCGTCGGGCAGCTTGGACCACCAGGGGTGCATGCATGACTGTCCCATGCACGACTGTATCGCTTCTGTCACCAGCTGTACAAGCCACCAATGGGACATGTACCCTGGTGGGTCAAGCCAGCATTCCTAACCATATTTCAAAGCCGAAGCCAAAGGTATTTTGTTTGTCCAAGTAGCCCAAGTCCAGATCATCACAAATCTCAGAAATCAGGATACGGAGCACACGCTCTGTCCCTCACTGCTGTCACCCCATGCTGCCGTGGGATCTGACAATGAGAAACTGTCACTAGACGTGACCTCTTGATCTTGGGACAAGAGCCATGAGCCAAAATAAAACTCTCCATTATAGTTTAAAAAATAAACAGTTGGGCATGGTGGTGCACACCTGTAACCCCTCAGCACTCAGAAGGCTGAGGCAAAAGGAGTGCTGCAAGTTCGAGAGCAGCCCAGGCTACGGAGTGAGTTCAAGGCCAGCCTGAACTGCAAACCCAGACCCTGTTTCAAAAAACAAAACTCTAACAAATAAACAAAGCCAACAAAAATGGTGACATGTACCTGTAATCCTAGCACTCTGGCAGGCTGAAGCAGGAGGGTCAACAAGTAGGAGTCAGGCCAGGGCAACGTAATGAAACAATGTTTCAAGATTTAAAAATGTAAAACTAAAAAAGATAAAGGCAGTACTATAAAGGCTCTGGGTTTCAAAGCCAGAGATTTAGCTCAGTGGCATGCGCCCCTACCTGGCAAGTGCAAGGTCATAAGTTCGATCCCTGGGACCAAAAAACAAAACAAAAACAAAGGCCATGGGGCTGGGACATAAGTACTTATGCTCACCAGCATAAGTACCTGCCTTGCAAGCAGGTAGTCGTGAGTTCGATCCCCGGTACCGGTAAAAAAGAAAAAGACAAAAAAAAAAAAAAAAAAAAAAAAAAATCAAAAAAACAAAGATTTCAATTCCCAGTCCACACAGACAGACTGGTAGAAAGATACTAAAAAAAAATAATGTCTTTAGAATATCCAGATAGCTTAAAAACAGTTCAAACTAGCTAAAACCAGGTAGCTCTTTTAGCTCAGAACTAAGACCAGACAAAGAGAGGCGAACAGGAACCAGTCAATTTGAGCTGGTTTCAACTAATCGAAGCAGGTCCGGCCAGCTACATTTTGGCTGTGCTAAATATAAGCCAAGTGTAGCAGGCTTAGACCTGCTCCAAAATATACACGCTGGTCTGGTCAACTGTGACCGGCTGGGGCTGGGAGTCCACTCGAGACTTTTATAAATACCAATGATGAACTGGGAAGAAAATGAGATACTTACTAAGCAGTTCTGCTTTTTTCACCACAGCCTTAATGTAATCCGGCCTCTGGGCCAGGGCTTTATCTAACAGAGTTTTGGCTTTCTCCTGTGTGACCGGGTCTTCCAGACAAACGGTTGCTAGAAGGGTGAGAGTCTGGGCGTTGGCACCTAGGGTTTTATAAACGTTGTTTGCCATGACCATTGCTTCTCGGATACTGTTAGAGGCTAAGTAACACTCGATGAGGCCTGAAAAAGTCAACACACAAGTGCAGTCCCATCACCATCTCAAGCCATGCTTCCACACTGAGAGCGCTCCCAACCGCAAATCTTTGAAGTTTCAGACCAAGGGCAGGCCAGGGAGACCAGTGACAGTGAGGGTGGCCCAGCAGCCACACTGACAGAACGGTAACACGCGCTCTTCCTTGGAGCCCCTGCCCTGCAAACACACCTCCTGTCAGCAAAGGAAAGGGAGCCTGTGGCAGCCCAGCTGAACACTAAAGAGCACCTTAACACTAATCATTACCTCGCTGCTTAGCCAGGAGACTGAAGAGGCCCAGATGGTGTCTCCAATGAAACCAAGGTTCCACCTTAGTTTCACTGGTGTCAGTCACTTGGCAGGGCGAGGAAGGCCCCAAAGTAAATGTCCAACCCTACCACTAAAGAACCCACTGTCAGGGGGTAGGTAGGAAACAAGGCAGACGCTTCCATCGGAAACAACAAAGCTGTCTCAAAGGCGCTTCTGAAATCAGATGGACCCAACACTGCGACTGGCAGGTCTGAGCTCTCTTCACCCCCACAGCAAAGCGCCCTACAAGGTCACTTCAAAGAGTCAGCTCAATTCATCACACCGAGAAGCTGAGAGCTGAGGAGGAACTTCTTGGCAAAGTACTCATCAAAACATAAAAACAGCTTACACCCCAAACCCACACAATCCCTGGCAGGTTTTCTGTGCATGCTCCTCCACCCCAGCAGCATTTATAACATTTGTGCACGCTCTTCCATACACTTTGTTACTTAGCCAGAAATTACCTAACCCTTAAGGCCAACATGTGAGAGTCCAAGTCCAGCTGTCTGCTCTTACTGTGTAGCTTTACTTCTCTGCTAAAGCCTCGCTTTAGCAGGAATTGGGACAGAACCTAAAAGAATGCACTTCTCAGGTTAGGGCGCAGCCCAGGGGCAGGACACACGCCCCGCAACCAAGGCTCTGGGCAGACCCCAGCGGCTCACACACACGCGCACACACACAGGTACGCTGCACTTCACGAAGGAAAGACAGCCACAGCAAAGAGGGAGCACAACACAAACTGCCAAAGGGCGCAACCAGAGTCACCCTAATCCAACCTCTACGTGACAGCCAGAGACAGGGCAGCCCAGGAGGCCTCACTGGCCAGCGGGAACATTCTCGGCCCCAAATGCTTGAACACCCTTTGCCCAAGCACTGTGGTAGTAGAGCTGCCCACCAGCATGCCTGCCCTGTGGAAAAGGTACGGGGCCGGAAGGAGCTGGCCTGATGGGTGCTGGGAGGCTCAGGGAGCTGCGGCTGTGAGACTGAGACTGAGATATTAGCAGCTCAGTTCCCTGGCGTTCTCTCAGGAGCTAAGACAACTCCCTCTCCCTGCACAAACCCCGGACAGGCACGGCTCCCTGGCTATATAAGCAGATTTGTTCTTTCCTCCAACATCCAAATTTTCTCAAATTTGAACTTATCTTCCTGTTAGGAGCAAATAACTCTTAGATTCCTGCTTTATTTTTAAATTCTTATAAAAATATGTTTTAGAGGAACTGCATCTTATAAGATCTATTTTAGCGTCTGTGACTGAGTCACTGAATGTTGCTGAAGCTGGCACAGCTCCTTTGAACTCCTAGGGTCACTTCACATGAACTTAAAACATTACATAACAAAACAGAGCTGGACCCCAATCATCCCACTGTGAAGGTCACAGTGGACAGCCTGGTTCCCACAGCCTACACTGCCTCAAAGGGGAGTTGTGCTCTGAGTAATTATGTCACGCAAATAAGACAACTGTGGAAAAAAAACAAAGACATAACCAAGCAATTTAGCACAGTGCCTGACAGATTCTCATTAACCATATGCCCATATCTGAAGTGGAAAAAAAAAGGGACAAAGTACCTATCCCTACTATCTGCTCAACAAAACTACCAAAAAAACAAAAACAAAAACAAAAAACAAGCCGGGCATGGGGACATACTTCTGTGATTTCAGCACTCAGGAGGCTGAGGTGAGATGATCACTGCAAGTTCGAGGCCAGCCTGGGCTACATAGTAAATTCAAGGTCTCCCAAAATAAAGAAACCCTGAATAAGAAAAATAGATTCTAGACAGTATAAGGTAAAATTCTAGTGAAAGCCCTAACTGAATGTAAAATATCTAAGGCAGTAATTCTCAAACCTCTCTGCATACTGGCACTAATAGGGATCTTCAAAACCCAGCAGTGTCCCCTATGTTCCATCTTTGCCCACTCACCTGGCAGCTTGATGGCTTCAAAGCTTCCCCAGGTGATTCTAATACACAATAGTTGGGAAACGCTGGCCTAATGAAACCTTCTACCTGAGTGCAGTGGCCTGCGGATTCACACTACTCACCTTCGTAACAATCTAAGCGACAAGGTGCAAGCCTTATGGCCTCCCGGAAATGGATTATTGCTTCTTGGACTCTGCCCATATTCCTAAGTGCTGCTCCTTTAAGTAGCAAGGCTTGAACACTGTTACTATTCAGCTGAATGGCCTTGGCTCCTAGGTACAGGGCCCGGGAGTAGCGTTTACTGTAGAAGCTATGACACCTATGGGGGATACTGGAAGTTATCCGACAGTACTATGAAGCTTCACCCATAAGTCAAAGAGAAGGCCCCACACACGACTGCTAATACCAACCGCACTCACAGCTGTAAAATGTTAATGAAGAAGCAAAATAATCCAAAAGGTCTACTATGTATTTATTTGTTTTTTGAGACAGGGTCTCGCTACACAGTTCAGGCTGGATTTGATGTAGCCCAGGCTGGCCTTGAACTTGCAGTAATCTTCCCTTCTCAGCCTCCCAAGTGCTGGGATTAGACATGCAGCACCATGCCCATAAAATATTTACCTTTAAAGCAGAAAGCTTGACATGGAAGAGAAAAATTATGGGAGAGTCTAGTGATTTGGGTACATTATGAGCTAAGAGACATCCAAAGGATTTGTAAAACCAGCTCAACTACAACATAGATATACTTAATTTTATTTTGTGATCCTGGGGGTCAAACTCGGGGCCCTTCACATGCTAGGTAGGCCTCTATTCCTAAGCAACGTCCAGCTCTGAAGCTAATAAGGAAGGAGCACCTCCAGTCCTGTCACAGGGGAAAATGTGCCATCTCGTTAGTGTCAACCCTGGAAGCAGGCGTTAGTGACCCTTCTCTAAAAAAGAAACACTCAGAGAGGTGTGTGTGCATCCAAACTGGCAGGGTGTGATGTATGTGATCCAAGTCTGATTACGTCTTACACCTATGCTTCCTACCAACATGCTCTTTTAAAAACACTTTATTTATTTATTTATTTATTTTCCAAGCAATACTCTAAGAGAAACCACAATCGCCTAACGAATCTAATGAGAAAGGCAAACACACAAACATACCCGGAGACCACCCAGGGCTCTGCATGCTGATCAGAAATATTGAAAAGGCGGCAGCCAAGGTTCTCCACATCCTCCAGCCGCCCTTCGCGTGCCAGCAGGTAACCGTACACATCCATTCCTAAAAGGAAAGACATGATGAGAGAAGACTCTTTCATTACAGCAGCAAAGTCCTCAACAGAGACAAGAGTCACCAAGCAGAGGTCAAGCAGAGTCCTGGTTGCTGCAGGGTTTGAGCCCTTTCCGTCATCATGGCTCCTCCCACCAGGGTGGCCACTTTCCAAAAATGACTGTTAAAAAGCAAAGCTCATCCAAAACAAGACAGGCAAAGGGGCAGAAAGACAGGTCTCACAACTGAAAAGCTGTTACTGTCATGAACTGCTGCCACTATATCTGTGGTGTGACAGACATAGCTCTTCTAAACTCATAGCCAGAAAATGCCCAAAAAAGGCATCAAATAGGTGCTGTCCCCCAGGAGCTCTTGGCAGTGAGGAACACACGTTTGCTTTGGAGAAAAGGCCAGGCTCCTCTCATAAGCTGCCTGATTCCAGGAAAGGCATGTAGGTCCTTCTAGAATGTGGTTCATTAAAGAACATCACCCTGCTAGTACCCCCAAACCCCTATCCTTCTCTCATTCCCGCTGTAGAGGGCCCCCGCTTGCATCGCCCCCCTTCCCACCCTCCTCCTGCATTCCTTGCTACCCCCAACTCCGATGAAAACTCCTCTCAAACCAAGACTACAGCAACACCCCTGCTGCCCCTGGATGTGGAACTGAGCTTACGACTCCCAGCTGCCATTGCCACTAGACTAGCATTTTTTTTTGTTTGTTTGTTTTTTTGAGACAGTGTCTTGCTAAGCTGGCCTGAGACTAGCACTTCTTTTTTTCTTTTGGTATCAGGAATTGAACTCAGGACCCTGCTTGCCAGGCTGATATTTACGCTGCTGAGCCATGTTCCCAGTAGCAGACTAGTACTTCACACTTCATTTAAACACCATTTTCCAGCCAGGCGTAGTAGCTCACGCCTGTAATCCCAGCACTGGGGAGGCTGAGGTGGGAGGATCATTGAGAGTTCAAGACCAGCCAGGGCTACAAAGTGAGCTCAAGGCCAGCCTGAACTGCATAATGAGACCCTCTCTCAAAAAGACAAAAAAAAAAAAAAAAAAAAAAAAAAAAAAAACCAAAAACCACCACTTTCCTCATGGGCACAGGCAGCATGGAGGAGAGGAATAAGCACTGGGCAGGATGGAGACCTTACGTAGACAAATACACATCATCCTGAGCCTTCTCCTCTGCATGCTTCTGAAGCTCACCTCCTTGTCAGTACCCTTAGTCCACAAGACTACTTACTGTCGCAGTTTATTTTCCTATGGTCTTTTTTGGGACTTATTACAGAGGTCAGCTAGTCCACCTTAGCTCCCATTGCTCCTGGGCATGCCCTCCACACACAGGCCGTCACCCACAGCCTGTGGAGCCCCTGATCTGACAGCATGGTGCCATCTTTGCACTGCAAATTAGCAACTGTTTGCTGTATCTGCTGCCTTTAACTACCTTATCCTTCCCACTTTTTGACGGTCTCACTATGTACTTCAGGTTGGCCTTGAACTCACTAAACAGTGCATCTCAGGCTGGCTCAAAATCGGGCAACCCTCTTGCATCAGCTTCCTAAGTGCTGTGATTATAGCCGGGCACCCCCCTTTTTTTCATTTGTTTGAAACAAGGTCTCAGTGTGGAACCCAAATTGGCCTTGAAATCATGGCAGTCCTCCTGCCTCATCCTCTCAAGTGGTCTTATCCCTTTCTTAATAGGTGTTTCCTTATTCATCTTCATTACACCACAAACATGTAAAATTCCCTAAAAGGGATTATGGTTCTGGGGTTGTCATCCAAATCCTCAGTCTGGCACATCATAAATTTATGATTCATAAAGAGGGCGTATGACCCCCCCAAAAAAAAGAAAAAAAGCCAAATAATGGTGTACAAGGAGATGACGTCCAAATTCAAGCAAAAATAACTGCTCAAAATGGAACTACCAAAGTGTTAGAGACATGTGTGAGAACCTAAAAAAGTAAGAGCACTGTCCTAAACACAGAATACTGTACTGAAAAAGTGTCGGTTCACACTGCATTGTCAGCCTGACTTCTCTGCCCTGCCCCAAGAACGACTTACCTTTTATTAGGTAGGGGTCCAGCATCTGAGCCTGCTCAAACTTGAGGACAGAGTTCTTACTGTCTCCAGCTCTGAAGTACAGATCTGCTAAGCTTCCCAGCAAGTCCACGTTATCTCGCAATAAGGACTTTTTTTCTAGTGAACTGAAGACATTAAACAATGAACTTTAAATATCTATTATAAATGCTTTACTTTTTTTTTTTTTTCTTTTGAGACAAGGTTTCACTACGCAGCTCAGGTTGGCCTAGAGCTCACTTTGTAGCCCAGGTTGGCCTTGAACTCAAAGCCATCCTCCTGCCACAGCCTCTAGAGTGCCGGATTATAAGGAAGCACCACTAATTCCAGCCTTTACTTACTTACTTAATTAATTAATTTATTTTGGTAGTGCTAGGGAGTGAACTTAGAATTTCACAAAGAACTACATCCCCAACCCTTTCTTTAAAAACAAAAACAATTGAGAGTTTCATTAAATTGCTAAATTCTTCTTGGTTACTGGGCTTCTCTTGTTTTGGTATTTTGTTTTGAAGACATGGTCTCGCTATGTAGTTCAGGCTGGCCGTGAACTCACAGCCTCCTGGGCACTGGGTTTAGGGCTGTGTGCCATAATGCCAGGCTGGGCTACTCTTGAGTGGGGATGATTTCTGCATGCACAGAACTGAGTTTAGTTCAATTTTACATTTTTATAGGTTCCCAAAACAGACAATTAGGCTCTCAACCATTGGGGACATCACAAGAATAACACAACCCAAAGATAATTGGCTGCCACACTGAGAAGCGCTTCATTTTTCTATGCTGCTAATGTAAGTACATAACACCATCAGACAGGGGCCTCAAGAATATTGAACTAGGGGCTGGGGATTTAGCTCAGCGGCATAAGCGCCTGCCTTGCAAGCAGGCAGTTGTGAGTTTGATCCCTGGTACCAATAAAAACGAAAAAGACAAAAAAAAAAAAAAAAAAGAATATTGAACTAACGCTGTGGCTCTCACCAGATGGTGTTGATTGCTCTTGAGTTGTCACCAGTGTGCACAAAAGCATATGCTTTGATCCACACAGAGAGCCAGTCCAAGTTAGGCACAGTCTGGATCACATTCATTGTCATAGACGCCACCTCTGCACCTTTTACAGAAAGGGACAGCAAACCTAGCCCAACAGAAAGCAGGGGAGAGAAAGTAAGGAACATCCCTCTTCCACAGCGCAAGGAACAAGTGACACTCTCCAGAATACAAGGCAACCCCTTCCCTATTTCTGATCAGCATGTGTACAACTGAAGAAACACAATTTATTAATTTTTGGTGGTGTAGATGGAACCCCGGGCCTCCAGCATGAGAAGCGTATACTCCACCATGAGCTATATCCTCAGATCCAAGAGATTATTTAATATTTCTTGATTCAGCATGTGCCAATGCAGCAATACAGGCACACCCATGTTTATAGCATCACAGTCTATAATAATTAAATCTTGGAAACAGCAAAAATGACCACCATCTGATGACTGGATAAAGATGTGATTTGTTAATACAACAGAATACTACTCTGCCATAAAGAAGGATAAGCCTGCAACATTTCTAGTTAAATGCATGCTTTTTGAGACCAAAGTCTTTTTTTTTTTTAAATCCGTACTGGGGATCGAACTCATGACTGTGCACTTGCAAGGCAGGTGCTTATGCTGCTGAGCTAAATCCCCAGCCTGAGACCAAACTCTTTAAGTGAAATATAAAGGACACTGCATAGTCTTTTTGGTGTGAGAAACTGCAAGTGTAAATAGGGAACAAAATGTATGAAAGATACAGTGAAATAGGAAGGAAATGTTCAAATGGGAAGGGGAGCTAAGGAGGGGAAAGAAGGGAAAAGAAAAATATTGACAGAAAGAGGAAAAAATGGAAGCAAAACTTTTTGTAAATAAGGAAGGGAAGAGATGATGAAGGGATGGGGAAAAAAAGAATCAAGTTATATCATATACAAGAAAAAATTCCCATCATTATGTATACCTAAAATGTGCGAATAAGCGTAATTTAAAAACAAACAAACAAAAAATGCCGGAGAATGCAGGGAATTGGGGGGGGGGGGGCGGGCGGGCCAGCAGGCGTACTAGGGATCAAACCCAGGAGTACTTTACCACTGAACCACATCCACAGCCCATTCATTCCTTTACAGATTTTTGAGACAGGCTGTGTAGCTCAAGCTGCCCTTGAAATCTCACTGATCCTCCCACCTCAACTCCAGAGTGCTGGGATGACAGGTGTATGCCACCATGCCTGGCTATTTCTCCTTTTGAACCAGTCTCACTAAATTGTCCAGGCAGGCCTCAAGCTTGCAATTCTCCTGCCTCAGCCTCCGTTAGTGCTGAGATTATAGGTATGCATCACCACACCTAGCTTGCAGGGAACTCTGTAAAACAATCTATCCTGATGTATGCCCATGAATTGAGAATACTATCTCTGACAGGAAAATGGCAGAAAATTATCTATACCTAGAATGGCATCCAGGGCTAGTGGGCACTGCCTCAATACCTCCTTGTAGCTGGTGACTGACGGGCGCTCCTGCCCAGCCTTCTTATACAGATTTGCCAGCATCATGTTTATCTGTATGAGCAAAAAGAAAGAACAGTAAGTGCATCTGCAAATAGTGTATCTCACCATGAGAAAGCTCTGGTTTTTATTACCAGGGAATAGTCTACCTTTTACTGGACAACAGCCCTGTGCAAATAAAAAAGAGAACTCTATTCATTAAAACAAAGAAGAAAATGCTAGCCTTGCTTTTCCTAGGTTCTCTCAACTCTACAAAGAAAGTCACACTACCCTCTTGTCTGCGTAACCACAAGACACATTCACATGAGAGACGTGCTAAGTCTAGTTACCTTGATTCTGTCTAGATCTTAAGAACATACAACTTTGGGGCTGGGGATTTAGCTCAGCGGTATAAGCACCTGCCTTGCAAGCAGGCAGTTGTGAGTTTGATCCCTGGTACCGATAAAAAGGAAAAAGACAAAAAAAAAAAAAAAAAAAAAGAACATAAACTTTTCTAGAAGTATTTTATGTATTTTAAATTCAATGAATATAAAGGTATCAGAAAGTGAAGAATTACTGACATTGCCGGTCAGGAAGAATCAGACTGATTCTTCCCCTAAAAGAACTGAGACACACAAAAGTAAAATATTTGGCTTCTGACAATCAGAGGAGTGGCCACATTCTGGTCTAATATCTAAAGCTTTGACCCACATGTACTGTTTAACTCACCAAAGTAATGCCACAGAAGTCAAACTCAAACTGACCTCCAGAAGGACAATGATTCAGAGATTAGTTGCTCTATTAAATACAGTGAGTGCAGATATATCTGCATTTTAGCACAATATAAACATGTAACTTGACAAAGCAATCTTGAAACAATCCTTTCTAAACATATAGCAGGAAGAATTTAAGAAAATCTAAGTGCCATAAAATATAGATATTGCAGGCTAGGGATAAATGACATTCTCAACAGTACAAACAGAAGAGTGCAATATTCGAATTTAAAATAAAAGATCTTTACCACCCCCCCCCACTGCTAAATTTGACTGGCTTAAAAATAAAATAAAATAAAATAAAAGATCTTGCTGGGTATAGTGGCACACAAGTGCAATCCCAGCACATGGGAGAATGAGGCAGGAGGATTACTGCAAATTCAAAACCAGCGTTGGCTACATACAAGACCAGCTTCAACACACAGTGAGACTCTGTCTCAAAAATAAAGCAATAAGTTTTTAAAATAAAATAAATATCTTAAATGTAACACAGTGATGGGAAAATCATTAATCTAAGGGAGAGGTCAACATGAGGACACAAAAGAAAAAAATCCTCAATACAGTGGTACCTCAGTTCACAAACTTAATTTGTTCTATGATTTTGGAAAAATGACCAGATTTGTGTTTGTGTAGGAAAGACAGCTGCAGCCATTTTTGTCACCTGATGCAAACAAAAACAAAATTTTGTCAAACTCTTCTGGTTAAAACCAAACTGTTTGCAAACAAAAGCATCCATGGACTGAGGTACCACTCTACTGTATCTTCAATTATCTGTAGCTTAGCATGCCAGATATTTACTCAAGAGCAGCTCTTTTGAAAGTAAGATTAAGCTATACTATAAGCATGTACCAATTCCCCAAACATGACTTTTCTGTATTACAAACAAACACTAAAAAAAAAAAAAAAAAAAAAAAATCACAAAGCCAGAGGAGGTGCCCCACACCTGTAATGCCAGTTACTTGGGAGGCTAAGGCTTAAGGCCGATCTGGGCAGCTTGGCCAGACTCATCTCAAATTTTAAAAAAGCTGGGACTGTAACTCAGCGGTACAGTGCTGGTCTAACATGCAACACTCTGGGTTCCCATCCTCACTACTGAAAGGAAAAAAAAACTACAAAAGAAAAAAAATGGCTCGGAATGGCTAAGGATTGGGCCCAGCAAGCACAAGGCCTTGAGTTTGATTCCCCCCCCTAAAAAAGCTCAGAAAAACATTTGTTCCAATTATAGACCTACATTATACAAAAGTTTAGTATAGCAATAATCTACACTAATTCAAGCAATAAAAGAATAAAATACTATAGATAAAATTTTTTTGAATTGGCTTCAGATATCCCACATTAGGCCCACCTCCATCTTTCTTATTTTTTTGAGACAAGGTCTTGCTTTGTAGTCTACGCTGACCTTGAGTTCACTACGTAGCCCAAGCTAGCCTCAAATTTGCTGCAATTCTCCTGCCTCAGCCTCCTGAGTTCTGAGATTACAAGCACAAAACTCCAGGATATCAACACTTCAAAAGAATAAAAAGTTAAATTTAAGATCATTCTTTGACTGCTTGTTATTAACAAATTGATGAAATATCAACAACCTATAATCCCAGTACTCAGGAGACTGAGGCAGGATTACCATGAGTTCCAGGCCAATCTGGGATATACAGTGAGATCAAGGCCAGCCTGAACTACATAGCAAGACCCCCATCTCAAAAAAAAAAAAAAAAAAAAAAAAAAAAAAAAAACTCAACAAATACCAAATATCCTTGACTATCACTCTGAAAAAATGAATTTCAAGTACTACCTAATGAAAAGGTCAAATCTTCTTAAAATAGATGTTAGAAAAATTATAAAGCCATATTCTACTAGTTACAAAGAGAAGCAATCATCATTTTCTAAAAGCAAAGTGAGAAATCACATGTTGGTATGTTTAAATGACTGAAGATTTACCAAGATCTAACAATCTAACACTGGAACTCTCCTTTCAAATGTGAGGGAATGTGTGGTGGTGTTTACCATGTATCAACAGATGTTCAAGTAGACGTATTTGACTCACTTCCTTGTTCTTTACACAGACTGAGAAGCCCGTTAACTCCCTAGCAGACAAGAAAGAAAACTGTAAATACTACAGGTTAATTTTGGAGACACACACATTTGCTTTTCCTGTCTACAACAGCTCTAATGCAAGGAGGATATGTACTCCTAACAACCACTCTCGAAGTCCCTCTAAGAATGATGGCTGTAAGCATCAATCACTGGATGGATGGCACAAAGCCAAGATTCTCTGCATTCTTCATTGTCTAAAACTATGTCCCCAAATACCTGCAAGTCACTATGAAGGAAATCATGCTAATTTCTAATAAAACATGTAACAGTATCATTCACTGTTTATAATAAAAAATGGTGTCCTCATGAAACAGACATGATGGCACATATATGTAATTCCAGAAGCTGAAGCAGGAGGAGAATCCGAGCCTAGCACAGGCAATTTAGCAAGACCCTATCTCAAATAAAAAGAATAAATAAAAAGAGGTAAGGATAAAGCACAGAAGTAGAGTTGCCTAGTGTGTACAAGCCCCTGGGATAGACTTTCACAATTGCAAAAGAAGCTTATTCTAAAAGAAAGATACATTAAGCATAGTGATGCACATTCCTCAAATAGGCAAAAAATTTTAAAAAAGAAAAAGAAAAAAATGCAAAAAATTATTCTTAGGGTAAAAAGACTTTTTTAGGATACTACAACATAATTTAATACCTAGAATCTAACTAGGCACACAAAATAACTCATGTATGTAATCCCAGCACTGAGGGAGACTGAGACAGGAGAATTTCAAGTTTGAGTCCTGCATGAGCAAGTTAATATGATCCAGTCTCAAAATGAAAAATAAGAAAACAAAAAGCCCTAGTATCGGGACTGGGGATTTAGCTCAGCGGCATAAGCGCCTGCCTTGTAAGCAGGCAGTCGTGAGTTCGATAAAAAGGAAAAAGACAAAAAAAAAAAAAAAAAAGTCCTGCCATCCACGTTTATTATGAGACAGGTTAGCCCATGATATATTTCCAACTGTTTTTAATAGAAGGTATCATCATAAAATATACCCAGGAAACGCCTTAGTTTTAAAACTCAGAAAATAAGACTGGGGCCATCACTCAGTGGCACAACATAAATATAGCACGCTTGACACCCTGGGTTCTATCCTCAATGTATGTGGCACACATGCACCTCAAAATAGGAGAGTTCCTTAATACAAGGAAGGGCTTAAATATGTTCTAACAAGCCTGGTTTGTTTTATTTATTTGTTTTTTTGTTTATTTATTTTGAGACATGGTCTCACTATGCAGTTCAGGTTGGCCTTTAGCTCATTATGTAGCTCAGACTGGTCTTATACTTACAATGATCCTCCTGCCTCAGCTTCCCAAATGTGGTAGCATGTGCTACCACACCCAGCTAAGTCTGGTTACCTTAAAAACTTTCCAACATCTAAATGAATTATTTAGGAAAATACACAAGCTCCCTATTGGTTAGATTCCTTGTGTTTTAAGGAATATATACAGACATCACACCAATAAAATTTCCTCCTGTCAAACACAAGTTGCATACAATACTTTTTCAAGAAATGACAAGAGCAAGTGACATGAGAATATCTTTCAGAATATTAAATACTGATATGCATTTAACCATAATAGCAAGGATTTAAACTACACTTCAAAAAAACTTGATGCTAGGTGTGGTGGCACATGCCTATAATCTGAGCACTCAGGAGGCCAAGGCAGGAAGATCACTAAGGGTATGAGGTCAGCCTGGGCTACATAGCAAGACCCTGTCTACTAAAAATTGCTCAGAATGTGCCAGCCCTTTGATTAATATGGGATGAATCCATGTCTAGGAATGTAGCTCACTGGTAGATCATTTCCCTAGCATGCACCAAGTCATGGGTTTGATCTACAGCATGCAAGGAAAAACAAAAATAAAGACAAACAAACAAACAAACAAAAAAGGAATTTTTGCATATAGAGAAAACACTATTGTCCTCACTTTATAAGTAAGGGGAAAGAGGTTGTTAACCTGCTCAAGTTCACGATACATAACTCATATGCCTAAACTCAAAAGACCTAGATCTGATTTCAGTTACATGTGTGCTCTTTACTACAACATGATGCCCAATCAAACACAAACATATATTCCACCCATAAGCAAGCTCAAAGAAGTCTTGTAGTCTTGAAAATGAAAGGGATCAATTTGGTATCCCCATCAAATGCAAAAAATGAGGCTCTAAAAATGTGTTTTTGGGGCTGGAGATTTATATATATATATATATATATATATATATATATATATATTTTTTTTTTTTTTTTTTTTTTTTTTTTTATTAAAATGAGATGCAATGGAGGGGCTGAAGATTTAGCACAGAGACGTAAGTGCCTGCCTGGCAAGCGCAAGGTCCTGGGTTCAATCCCCAGTACCAAAAAAAAAAAAAAAAAAAAAAGCGTTTTTGCCACCTGGAAGTTTTGGTTTTGTTTTTGTGGTACTGCGGATTGAAGCCAAGGCCTTCACACTGAGCTACATCCCCAGCTTTTTTTTCTCCCCCAGACTTTTTAAAAATTTATTTTGAGACAAATTCCTGCTAAGTCATTAAACTGTCCAGATTGGGCTTGAAGTTGAAATCCTTGTGGCTCAGCCTCTGACTGCTGGGATTACAGGCATGGGCCAAAGCATCTGGCTGTGGAAGTGTTCTGCAAATCACTATGCCCTACAGCAAGAAGTAAAAAAAAAGAATACATACTTGTAGTATTGTCTAGCTATCATTTACATCAACTGAGCTTGAAAGAACTCTTAAGAACTAAGTGTGGTGGCACATGTCTATAATCCCAGCATCTAAGAGACTGGGCAGGAGGATTGCTGTAATTTAGAGGCCAGCCTCATACAATGAAACCCTGTCTCAAAAAAAAAAAAAGAAAAAAGAAAAAAAAAGAAAGTGGTTCATCGAGCTCTCAACCCCTACTCCATTACCAGCAGCAGGAAAAGAGGTAGAGTCCCAAGTGAAAGGCTCGGCTGGCCCTCCTAGTGCAGAGAAAAAACATGGAGGAAATAGGCTTGGAAGGGCTGAGGAGGAGAAAAATTTCCTACCATGGGTGAATTCAACTTACTTTGGGAGTTCTCTGCCTTGAGGGGATCCCATCAAGTATAGCAATGGCGTCTTTATCTTGCTTTAACATTGTATAACATTCAGCCATCTTATATTTCACTTCTATTTCAGATGGAAGACACTAAAAGACAAGGAACACATCTATTCAAAATGTGCAGCATTTACCCTGTATCGCTTCAGTATGGCACTTCTTCAAAATGATAAACACAGGATCATATGATCCAGGTATATAGTCAAAAGAACTGAAAACAGACACCCAAAAAAGATTTGCATTTTCACACTCGAATTTTCACAGCAGTATTTTTCATGGGCAAACAGTAGAAACAATAAATGTCCCTCAAATAATGAACAGATAAACAAAATGTGGCACATCCATACAGTGGCATATACGATAGAAACAAGAAATAAAGAGCTGATTCATAGCCAGCATGGTGACACATGCCTGTAATCTCAGCCCTCAGAGGCTGAAGCAGGATTGCCACGAGTTCAATGCCAGCCTCAACTACATAGTGAATTCAACGCCAGTCTGACCTATACAGTGAGACCCTGTCTCAAAAAACAAAACCAAAATAAAAAAAAAACAAAGAGCAATTCATGGTGTAACAAATCAATTTTAAAAATAACATGCTAAGTGACGGAAGCCAGACATAGTAGACCAGTATTATACAATCCATTCACAGAAAATGCCCAGAATAGGTAAATACATACCAAGACAAAGATCAAAAATTGCCAAGGGTGGAAAGAGGAATAGGAATGCAGACCAACTGTTAACATACATGAGACTCTCTCTAGGGTAATGAAAATGTTCAGAAATTACACAGTATTGATGGCTGCAAAATCTTGTGATTATGCTCATTAAATTACACTTTTAAAGGCACATAATATATATATATATATATATATATATATATATATATATATATATATATCAATTATTAAAAAATTCCAGGTGAGAGCTGGGTGTGGTGGTACACTCCTGTAATCCCAGCACTTGGGAGCTGAGTCAGGAGGATCATTGCAAGTTTGAGACCTGCCTGGGCTACAAGGTGAGCCCAAGACCAGCCTGAACTGCACAGGGAGATCCTGTCTCAAAGAGACCAAAAAAAAAACTTCCAGTGGGGAAGTCCAGCATGGTGGCACACACCTGTAATCCAGCACTCGGAAGGCTAACCCTAACCCTAAGGCTTATCTCAATAAGAGGATTGTTGTAATTTTGAGAACAGCCTGGCTACAAAGTGAGCTTGAGACCAGCTTGAATTGCATAGCAAAACCCTGTTTCAAAAAAGAAAACTAACTAACTAACTAACTAACTAAATAAATAAATAAATAAATTCCAGTTGGTCATGGTAGCATAAACCTGTAATCCCAGTACTTAGAAGATTTAGATAGGAGAATCCCAAATTCAAGGGCAATCTGTGATATAAAAGGAATTCCAGGCTAGCTTCAACTACAATGGAAAGTAGTCTTACAAAAATATAAAATATGTAAAATAAAATAGCCAGGCTTGGTGAAACATGCCTATGATTTTGGCACTTGGGAAGATGAGGCAGGAGGACTATAGCAAGTTTGAAGCCAGCCTGGGATATTCAGCCTGTAAATTCAAGACCAGCCTGAACCACATACCAAGACCTTGTCTCAAAAATTAAAAAGGAAACTAAGCATGGTGGTACATACCTGTCTCAAACAAACACGAATGAAATAAAAAATGAAATAAAAATAAGTACATGACGATTGAATTTATTCACATAAAAAGTTTTGCATGGTGCTAGATATACACTAAATGTTAATTAAATGTTAGCTATTTTTTTTTTCCAGACAGGGTCTTGAACTTAAGTAACCCAGACTGGCCTTAAACTCATGGCAATCTTTCTGCCTCACCCTCCTGAGTGCTGAGATTAGAGATGTGCACCATTATGCCCAGCTAGTGTGAGTTATTTTTATGAACCATCCTACCTGTGATATACATATAACTTCCATTCAATGTCAGAAAGCAAAGGTTTTACATAGAGAAATATGAGATGAAGGTCACTCACTAGACACCTTCTTACACCTAAGTAGTTTTTGTCTCCTCACTCAGTTCCCCTTTAAATTATTTATTTTACCATCCTCTATGTCCAAACTTTGTCACCGCCTACATTAGTTTAGTCTTGAGGCACAACTGTCTTAGCATGCATGAGTTCACCCTGGGTTCAAGCCCAGCAAAGGGAAAAATAATGTTTTTTTGGACTATCTCCAAAAAAACTCCCAAAATCACAATTCTATTTTCAATTACCTGACTCTGTGGAGTCGATGCAGAATTTCCAGTTGAAGGTCTCACTTTTGAAGTTTTACTTAAGGCTTTCTTCTGCTGTAAAGCCATGGTATACTTACTCACAGCATTCCGATATTCCTTATCATGAAAGAGAGAGTCCGCATGATACACCAGAAGCTGGTACTTCTGAGCTGGGGAGAATAACTCACTAGAAAACAAAGAAAGAATACCCCTACATGGGTTACTTTGAAATGTTAGAAACAGCACCTGTTCACAAATCCTTGTATAACAAGTTCACAAAAAGTTAAATATAAGGGCTGGAGATTTAGCTAAGTGGCATGAATACCCGCCTGGCAAGCATAAGATTGTGCCTTAATTAACAGACTTAAAACTACTTGTAATTGGGGGCTGGGGATTTAGCTCAGTGGCATAAGCGCCTGCCTTGCAAACAGGCAGTCGTGAGTTCGATCCCTGGTACCGGTAAAAAGGAAAGACCAAAAAAAAAAAAAAAAAAAAAAAAACAAACTAGTTGTAATTGTACTTCCTAAAAAAGCAATGAGGGCCACAGATTTAGCTTAGCAGCACAAGCCTGGCAAGGGCAATGCTGTAAGTTTGATCCCTAATACAAAAAAAAAAAAAAAAAAAAAAAAACAATACCTAAGACAAAATTCAGTTAATACAGAGCTATACAAATAAAATAACACATATTTTCTTTCTCTTCTCTAACCCAACTCACTGTAACAGTCTGATACGCTGCCCATCCAAAGGTTGTTTTGGTGGCATGGTATCAGAGGGCAAACCTAGGCACTTGCACGCAAAATACTCTATAGCTGAGCTGCACTGCCAGCCTTTCTTTCTTTCGATTTTTTTAAAGACAGTTCTCACTAGGTAGCTCAAGTGGCCTTGAACTTATTATGTAGCCCAGCCTGGTTTCAAACTGATAGTTCTCCTGCCTCAGCCTCTCAAGTGCTGGGATTATACCACACCAGATTCTAACCCTATTTATTTGTTGGTTGGTTGGTTGTACTGGGGCTAGAACCCAGGGCCTGTACACTAAGCTACCCCCAACCCTTGCTTTTACTTTTTTTTTTAGGCAGTCTCACTGAGTTGCTTAGTTCTCCAAGGTAAACTCAAATTTGTAATCCTCCTGCCTCAGCCTTCCAGATGGTGAGATTAGACACATGAAACACCATGCCTGCTTTTAAATTTTACTTTGAGATGGGATCCTACTAAATTGCCCCAGATGACCTCAAACTTTCAATCCCCCTGTCTCAGCCTCCCAATCAGCTGGGATTATAGGTATTTGCCACCATGTCTAGCTAACAAATATAAAGGATAACAGTGACGAAGGAAAGCAATCACAGTACTTTAATGTTACTAAAGGATTGAAGATTTGGAAAAGATAAAGTTCACCACTTTGAGTATGAACCTGAAAACTCTTTAAATACTGAAAAAAATGCAAATACAAGAACAGAATGGAGGTCAGCGACATAGCTGTTTGGCATAGTCCGTCTGGCAAGTGCCAAGGCCCTGAGTTCGATTCCCAGTACAAAAAAGAAAGAAAAAGAATAGAACGGGAGGTAGGCATGCTGTAATCCCAGTACCTGGGAGGCTAAGGCAAGAGAATCACTGTGAGTTTGAGGCCAGCTTGGACTACATAAGGAGACTCCATCACAGGGGAAAAAAAAAAAAAAAAGAATGGGAGAGCCAATAGGCTAGAGTAGTGCAGAAAGGGAATTAGCCTTGCTTGAAATTTTTCTTTTTAAATCAGTATAGGAGACCGAACTCACAACCGCATGTTTGCAAGGCAGGCACTTACGCCACTGAGCTAAATCCCCAGCCCCTCAGCCTTGTTTAAATAAATCTATTTTTAATCTTACATACAAGTACTTAAAGCATTCTTACTTCCTTGAGCCTCAGAGGTGTAAAGACAATGTAAAAGAGCCAGCATGTTTCACACCTGTCTCTCTAACCTTAAGGTACAAATCCCTGGCTACTATTCTCTTCATCTACCATGCTAGGGAGCAAACAAACCCAAGGCTTCTGTGTTCTAGGCATGTGTTCCATCACTGAGCTACATACGTGGTCTTGGCTACCATTCTTGATAAAGAAACTCCTATTTTTTAAACTCCAATTCGATTTCTTTCCAAGTTTAAATGATTGTACAGTGTCAATAGGTAAAAAAAATTACAGAATTATACAGTTAATTTCTCAACAAAGAAGATATAGCAAGGTAGGCACTATAAATTAGGGGTTGCTAGGAGATGGATTGGGGAGTAACTGCAAATAGACATAAGGTTTTTTTTGGGGGTAATTAAAACATTCTGGGTTTAGTGTTGTGATAGATGCAGGTAGTCCCAGCACTTGAGAGGCCAAGGCAGAGCAGTAGGATCCTGAGTTCAAAGCCAGTTAAGACTATGCCTTGAAAAGAAAAAAATCCTTAAAATGCATAGAACTATACGCTTTTTTTTTTTTTTTTTTTTTTTTTTTTTAATTTAAACTATACGCTTTTTTAAAGGATGAATTCAAGCCAGAGATTTAGCTAAGCGGCACAAGTGCCTGTCTGGCAGGCTCAAGGTTGTGAGTTTGATTCTTAGTACCAAAAATAAAAAAGTTAAAAATTAAAATAAAAAGGATGAATTCAAGCTAGCACACAAAAAAGGACAGACAGGCTAGACACTAGATATAAAGTTAGGAAGCAAACTTAAGGAGTAAAAAGTATAGTCCAGATACTTAAGATCTATTCCAACTTTGAGATTCAATGTATTTAATAAGAAATAAGCATTTGATACTTTGATAAACAAAATATTAGCCAGGTGTGGTGGTGTACACCTATAATCCCAGCTACTTGGAAGGCTAAAGCAGAAGAATCACAAGTTCAAAGGGGCTGGGGATTTAGCTCACCTGTACAAGAACTTGCGTGCCAAGTGCAAGGTTGTGAGTTCAATCCCCAGTACAAAACAAAAAAAAACAAACAACCCCCCCCCCACACACACACAAGTTCAAGGCTAGCGTGGCCTCCTCAAGGCCTCCTCAGGCAGAAGGATTGCCAATTTAATGAGACACTGCCTCAAAATAAATGAATGAATGAAAAGGGCTAATAGTATTATAGCTCAGCCTTCCTTGGGTTCAATCACCAGCTTGAAGCAGTTTAATTCTTTGGGTAGACTAATTTACCTGTTATATGCTTTTTCATATTAGCTTAGATTGGCAGTTTTGGGCTGGGGGGGCAGGGTGAGTAGGGGAACTCAGGATCTCATGGTTGCCAGCAGGTGCTGTGTCACTAAGCTAAATCCCTTGTCCCGATTGGCAATTTCTTTCTGTTTTTTTTTTTTTTTTTTTTTTTTTTTTGTTCAGGCTCCTATGTAGTTCAGGCTGGCCTTAAACTCAAACAGAAAAAGAGCAACTAGGGGCTGGAGGTTTAGCTCAGCGGCATAAGAGCCTGCCTTGCAAGCAGGCAGTCGTGAGTTCGATCCCCAGTACCGATAAAAAGGAAAAAGACAAAAAAGAAAAGAAAAAAAAAAAAAAAAAAAAGAGCAACTATTACTATACCCACACAAAACATAAAGATGGTAACACACTTGCCTATGTATGTACAGGTAAATTATCTTTGGTATGATACATAAAAAATGTAACACTGATTCTTCTGTTTCTTTCTTATTCCTTCTGAAGGAAAAGAATACAATGAGATTCAAAACTCAAGGATATGTAGCTGCACACAAGAGAGGCTGAAGCAGGAGGATCACAGAGTTGTCCCGCCAGCTGTGCTACATTGTGATTCCAGGCCAGGGGACACTACATAACAAGACTGTCTGAAGCAAGAGAATCGCGAGTTTAAGGCCAGCCTTGAGTTCAAGGACAATATGAACTGCAAGCAAGACTCTATATCAAAAAAAAATAAAATAAAATAAAATAAACTCAGGTAGAAACTATTTCAAAATAATAAAGGTCAGAATTTAAACACTTTTAAGCTAAGAAACTGCCAATCCATTGGTCACGGTGGCACACATCTATAATTCCAGTGCTTGGAAGGCTGAGGCAGGAGGATTGCCACAAATTCGAGCCCAGCCTGGGCTACAAAGTAAGACCCTGACTAAAAAGAAAAGAAAAAAGAAAAAGAAAGAGCAAGCCAATCTAACTTAATATGAAAAAGCATGTTAGCAGCTAAATTAGTCTAGCCTAAGAATCACACTGCTTCAAGCTATCCTATAACATCTTCAAGTACCAGAATAATGACTAGTGTGTTAATCCTGAAAGTGGAAACTATGCTCTGAAACAAGAGTAATGGCTAGCACATTAATCCCTGATAAAGAAAACTACACTTCGACCTATCACTTAGAACCAAATGAAGAGCTCCAGAATAAACACGGAAGGCTGACAGAGACCAGCGCTCCTTACTGTCAACACCAAGTGGATGATGGTAAAATGATGCATCTCACTACGAGGTCCAGAGCACAGTGATGGAAATGAATCGGGGAGTCGTAGCTGCATTCGGGCATTCACAGGCCTTTCCTTTCTGACCTTGAGCAGCTTCTAGAGCCAGCCACATGCAAAAGGGAAGACAGAGTAGAAAATCCCATCATAATGCCATTTGGAGGCAGAACACGGTCTACTCCACTCCACAGAATGTAGATTCTGGGGAGCCACAGGGGACCAGGGTCCAGGCTGTGGCTCCTCTATTTACTAGACGCCTGAACTTGGTTAAAGTACTTTACCCCCTGAGACTGCACACATTTCTTTAGCACTTTTGGGGACTAGACACCGGCACTGTGTTTCTCTAATAGCGCTAAGAGTGAGGCAGACAACAAAACATGGCCATGGGACAGGAAAATGGGAGAGCAGGGCAATTTTGAGAGCCATTTGAGCCGAAACCTGAATGAAGCAGCTGATCGGAGGGCTCCAAGCACCAGGCTCAGCAAATGCAAAACGTTCAGAGTGAAGGCGAGCTCCCGCCAGAGAGGCTGGGTACCCTGGACAGAGTCAAGCGGATGCTCGGACTCCGGAGCCCGGGGAAGGAAAGAACTGCAGCAGCGCAGGGAGGGCTTCAAGCCAAAGAACCGGGCTGGAAGAAGCCCTGGCTTCGTCTAAACCTCACTGGACGGTAGGCGAGCCCACGAGAAAGGGGCATCGCTCCTGCAGCTCGCGCGAGGCCTCAGCAGGCGCCGCTCCCACCCAGCCCAGGGTGTGGAGAGTCGGGGAAGCAGGCAGCCCCTCGCGATGCACTCGGGGGAAAACGCCGATCTCCAAAGTGGGACGAAGGCACAAAAGCCAGGGGAGCAGGTTTCTACGAGCGGCACAAGGAAACGTCCTTCGGGAAGGTGCCAGGAGGGGAAGAAGACTGGCCCAGCAAAGTGACGTTCGTTCGCTGCACACGGCGACAGATACCTCGGCAAGCGGCCCGACCCCAGGCCTGGGTGCCACAGCCCGGGGGGACCTCGGAGCAGCCTAGCATCCCCGCGTCCGCCCCGCGCCGGCTCCCTGGGAGCTCAACTCGCGCGCCCCAAGTGGGCTCCGCCCGCAGAGACGCTCACTCTGCCCTCACAGCGTCAACGCGGTACTCGAGGCCGCGGCTTCCCGTCCCGTCCGCGCCTCCTACACCACCTCAGCCCCCCGCTCCCAAACGGCCGCCGCTCACTCCTCAGCCCCGGGCCGCTCCCCGACCCGACTCACGGGTTATTATTACTCATTGTAAGTAACAAGCTGCTGAGAAGCCGCACGTTGGAGTGCAGCCCCGCGGCTGCCATGTCCCGCACATGGTCTATAACATTCATCTTGCCCGGCAAGGCTATGGCTGGCGGCGGCTAGAGAGGCGGGAAAAGCCGGTAAAAAAGCCTTTAGGCAAGATTCAAAATGGCGGTGCCGCCGGGGTCCATCAGTGCACACGTGGCCCCGCCCCCAAGACTATAGGTAACTACTCAAGTGCCTGAATTTAAAAAGTCACCTGGGTTCCCCGGGGGCCCGCGAGGTGGGGCCATTTGTTGTTTTTAAGCAGAGATTACATCATCGTCCTGAACTGATAGGCTCCGTTCTTATGGGACTTTGCCAGCGCGGCGCCTGCCCAACATGGCGCTGGGCCCTAAAACGACACCTTGTCCCTCCCTTACTAACTTCCGTGTTCTTCTTCCAAGCCAAAATAAATTGCCCGCTTTTCTTTCGCGCGCGCCAAAGGTTCTCCAATCCTCTCCCTCCACAATGCCCCGCCCACTCACGTAATCTCCATCCCCAGCCTAACTTCATAGAAGCCGGTCCTCAGTTTACCCTTGTTTTTAAGGGACCTTGCAATCTCCTGCAACTGTGGCAATAAGGGCTTTTTTTTTTTTTTGTCTTTTTGAGACAGGGTTTTCCTATGCCATTCAGGCTGGCTTTGGGCTCACTCTAATCCAGACTGGTCTCGAACTTGCAACAATCCTCCTGCCTCAGTCTCTTGAGTGCTGGGATTGCAGGATTTTTAAAAAATACTTTTTCTTAATGCTGTCTTTGTCTCCCACTGTGCCCAAAAAAACCCTACCATTGTGGTGCCGTGCCTGGTCTGTTGGGGTGTGCAGCTCCTGGACAGCTACTTCAGTTTGAGCTCCCTGCAAAGAACCAGCCTTGCTCTTGCTCTCCTCTCTGCCTGTGCCGTCATCGGCAGCCATTCAGCACTGGACCACCTTGCCTCCAACAGGTGAGTCATTCCGCGTCCCAGGTGCTCCTGTCGCTCTCCCTCTCTTAAAATCGTGGCCCCTGTCAGGACCCTCACTTCCTTCAGGAGACCCCTCTCCCCTAGATGATGACACCTATCTCTACACCACCCCTAACAAGGATGACCAGCTTCTAACTTTGGCTCACCCTCAATTCAGTCACTATGGGAAATAGTCCCTTCTTACCCCCCAAAACACATTCCAGTCAGGTGTCTCTTAAAAAAGTTAAACACCTCAAAAAATTTAAACGCCCTAGGTCTCCAGGAGACCATCAAATCAAAATGACTTTTACTGCCAAGACAGTTTGGACCCAGTACCATCTTTTTAACAGCTGCTGGCCTGAGGACTCCAGTTGACAAGTGTCCTCCGTGACTTAGACAACTTTTGCTATCACTATGGCAAATGGTTAGAAATTGTTTGCGTAAAAGCCTTTTTTGCTCTTAGGGTGCGTCCCTCTCTCATTCAGGCATGTGGGGCAACCCAAATACTCCTGCCAGCTCCACATCGCCAAATCCCTTACCTGATAACCCCATTGAGCCTCTTGGTGGTGTCCATTCTGCCTTCTCCTCCACCTTGTCCACAAGAACCCCCTTAGTCTCCTGAGCTGGACTCACCCACCCAGCCTCTCTCTCACCCTGCCCCCCCAACTCTTCCTCCCCCACCCCTCTGGTGTCATTTTTCTCTACCCGCATACCACACTGGATGTCCCTCCTTCGCCTTTGCCATCTCTCAGTTAAACTTCTAAATTTCTCAAGTTGATACAATGTATCAAGCATAAGAGTCCAGCCCTTGTGGACTTGGCAACCAGACATATTTATTTAAACCAGTCTCCAGATACAAAGGCATGCTTATTCTTAGCATTTCACAACTTGAAAGTTATAACAGGTTTAACAGTCCTTATGAACTAACATTAAGTCTGTCAACATTGGGGTTGCGAATTTAGCTCAGCGGCATAAGTGCCTGCCTTGCAAGTATACAGTCGTGAGTTTGATCCCTGGTACCGATTTTTAAAAAAAAGTCTATTAACATTATATTACATTAGAACCATAACATGAGGCCCTGGCCTCCCAAAGACTCATACACATCCCTTTATGCAAAAGGCATTTAGTCCATCTGCAAGAGTTGCCAAAGTCCTAAAAGTTTCAGCATTGCTGAAAAGTTCAAGTTCGAAGTCTCTTCCCTGATGGAAGGCAAACTCTTAGCTGCAAGCTCCTGTACATATGAAAACAAAGTTAAACACTTTCAATATGCAATGGCACAACATTTTCATTCCAAAAGTTACAAACAGGGGGGTACAAAGGATTGGGACAAAAGTCCAAAATCCAGCAGGGCAAACATCAAGTCCTATAGTTCTGTGTGCACCATTTGACGCAATGTGTGGCAAATTGTGAGCTCCAAAGGGCTTGTGTGACTCCACCCCTTTCGGGCTTCTGGTGGTTACTGGTCCCACAGCTTTTCTCTTGGGCTGGCTTTGCTCCCTCCTTGCAGGTCTCCTTAGATGATCCATGTTCCTGGCTTTTCCAAACTTCTGGGGTCTCCACTGCACCTTTGGCTTCACACTCAAAGCTTCACACACTGCCCTCTCAAAGGCACACTGCCTGCCCTCCCAGGCCCTCTGAAATCTGGGTGGAAGCCTTGTTAACTGCAGAACTCACTGGACAATGCCAAGGTCTGCTGCCAGCTAGAGCAGTAAAGCTGCCAGGCTTTCCTTTCTTTTGGCTGTAGGGGTTGAGTGCCTGAATCACTGGCCCACTCTGAATCCAATTTTGAGGAACAAATTTTCTAAGCTGCTACCATACTAGAACTTCATATGGCCCCTGCTGCCATTCTGGAACATGGCATTCTGTGGCTTTCTCCTCTAAGCAAAGTCTTTCACTTTTGCAGTTTTGAGGCTGCAAAGGGTGGAGACCTGATGCTGCTTCCTGTGATGCTTGCAGACCATTTTTCTATTTTTTTGTTCCTTCTCAGCAATGGAGATCTCAGCTCTATCTCTGCAGTCCAAAGCATTACTGGCGCTTTTTTTCAGGCTAAACTCATGACATTTTACATACTCTGCTGAGTTCTTTGCTCTTGATTTGCAACACAAATCTGACTAAAAGTCCCCCAACAATAGTCTTGCCATGCCCACAACATTCGACTACCTTGAAATTTCTTCTGCAAGATTAATCAGTTCTCTGCCCTCAATCTTAGTCTCAGGCAAAGTCTCTGGGCACAAGCAAAATGTGGACAAACTTTCTGCCATGGCATACACACATCAGCTGGAGTCCAACAACCAGTGCCATCCTTCTTCCCAGCAGAAACCTCCCAAGCCTTCTGGTCGTCTGAGTTCTGACTGGAATCTGCCATACAGGGCTGTTCCAGGGCTACTCTTTTAGGTGACATCTCCAAACCTTTCTAAAGGCTGTCTTTTCACAAGCCATTCCCAAAGGCCCTTGAACTACATGGTCAGGTAAAGTCACAGCAATGACCCCATTCCACTGGTACCAAGTTCTGTCTTGGTTACTTTTCTCTTGTTGCTAGGACAAAACACCTGACACCCAAAATGAAGGAAGGAAAGGTTTATTTAGCTCACTGTTTGTGGAAGTTTCAGTCCATAATTAGCTGGCTGCAATGCAGGGTGGTGTGGCGCTGGGGCAACACTGCAAGGCAGCAGCCAGAACCAAAAAGGTGAAGAGCAAGCCTCTTTTCCTTTCTTATATTGTACACAGCTCCTGCTCCCCAGGGTTGGTGTAGCAATGACAAAATCTCCTTACCTTCCTCTTGCACAAGAGGAGGATATTTACAAAGTAAGGATTCTGGATCCCTCCTGAGTCTCTTGGGGTTTTTTGTTTGTTTGTTTGTTTTTTCTTTTTTTGCTCAAGACCAGCCTAGGCTGCGTAATGAGTTCAAGGTCGGCCTGAATTACATAGCAAGACCCTGTCTCAAAAAAAAAAAAAAAAAAAAAAAAAAAAAAAAAAAAGACATAATAACAATATGTAGGGATAGTATCTCTATAAAAAGAATATAAAATATCCCTATATGTAGAGAACATATATAGTTCAACTGATGATAAAAGTATCTTTAAATGGTCTGGTTCTATGTTGAAGATAGCCTATTCAGAAAATGGCATGAAAAACAGGAAAACTGTTTGCAGAAGAATAAAACTGGACCTATATCTGTCACCATGTCCTAAACAAAAATCAAAATGGATCAAGGATCTAAGCATTAAAACAGAAACACCGAACCTAGGAGATAGGTAAAATGCTTGAAGTCCTAAGTCATAAGAAAGGATTTTGCAAACAGGTCCCAGGTTACACAAGAAATAACAAGTGGAATTATGTCAAATTAAATAGCTTCTGCACAGCAAAGGAATCAATTACTAGAGTGAAGAGACAACCTAAAGAAGAACAAATTTCTGCCAGCTACACCTCAGAAGACAAGTATCTAGAATACATAAAGAACACACACACACACACACACAAATAAACCACCTAAAATAAAAATCAAGAAATATGCAAGTAAAATGAACAGACACTTCTCAGAAGATAAAGTACAAGCCTGGGTGTGGTGGTGCACACCCATAATCCTAGAACTCTGGAGGCTGAGGCAGGAGGATTACATAGTGAGTTCAAGGGCAGCCTGAGCTACACAGAAAGATCCTGTCCACCCACCAACAAACAAAAAACCAAACAAACAAAAAAAAGTACAAATGGCCAAAAGATATGTTCAAGATTGCTGATCATTAGAGAAATGCAAATTAAAGCAACACTAAGACTCCTTCTTACACCAGAAAAAATGTCTATCACTAAGAAGCCAAAAAATAACAAATGCTGGCTGGTTGCAGTGGAAAAGGAATTCTCCTACATTGTTGGTGGGAATGTAAACAACCCCTACAGAAATTAGTATGGAGATTTCTCAAAGAACTGAGATTGGAAATTCCATATGACCCCACTATTTCCCTGCTAGATATCCTCCCAATACAGCTAAAGACATGGCACTACAGTAATACGTGATATAATCCTGGGTTTATATCAGCACCATTCACAGCAGCTAAGTCCTGGAAGCAATCCATATGCCCATCAACAGATGAAATGGATAAAGAAAATATGATACTTATACATAATAGAATATTATTGGGCTATAAAGAAGGACCAATTTAAGACATTTGCAGGGAAGTGGATGCACCTGGGAAATCA